ATTGCGATTCTGGGAACAGATCAGTTAAACAGGGGGGTATCAGGCATTCGGAGGAGCATGCACAAGTACATGGCGGCACAGAGACCAGGCATTCGGAGGAGCATGCACACGTGCATGGAGGTATCATTGTATTTCGATTCTGGGTACAGATCCGTTAAACAGGGGCAGTGTCAGGCATTCGGAGGAGCATGCACAAGTACATGGCGGTACAGAGACCAGGCGTTCGGAGGAGCAGGCACACGTACACGGAGGTATCATTGTATTTCGATTCTGGGTACAGATCCATTAATCAGGGGCAGTATCAGGCATTCGGAGGAGCACGCGCAGGTACATGGGGGTACAGAGAGAAGGCATTCGCAGGAGCATGCACACGTACATGGAGGTAGCATTGTGTTTCGATTCTGGGTGCAGATCCGTCGAGCAGGGCAGTATCAAGTCGGAAGAGCATGAACAAGTACATGGAGGCGCAAGCTCCCGACGCCGTGTATTGAGATTGCTTTTGGCATAGAATGAAACCCTGGGCGATTGTAGATGGTCTGTGGAGTCGTTTGCGGTTGGGACCCGATTTGCTGCAACTCGAAACCTTGGGCGATGCGAAATCAAGGGCACCTCCACAAAATATGTGTTGTTTGAATCAGGATGGCAAGTCGGAACATGGAAGCTATCAGCCGCAAGCAAAAGTGCGGGGCACCAGTCCTGGAACCTTTGGCTCAAGCATCTGCTTCCGGCAAAGCAGGGAGCTGGATGCTTGGCAATTTTTCCAGGTGCGATGCGAAATTCGAAAAGGCCTGCGTGAAGCCAATTGGAGCGAGAAATCATGGCTGTGGAAGCAGCCGCATGGACTGAAGCATTGCTGATGTGTGCCAATCCCATAATTTTTCCCGAGCCTCCGGCTCGGGCCGCCAAAGCAAAAATCCGAAGGCTCGTGTTTGCCTGGTTTTTCAGGTTTGTTCCCGAATGCGTAGCAGAAGGGTTCCCGTTTAGAGGTCGGGGGTCTGGGGGTTAGGACGTGACCAGAAGTCGTTGATTTACGTCCTCAAGCGTCCGTATGTGTTCGCGAGTGTCGCGGTCGCAGCTCCAGTGGGGAAACCGAAAAACGTGCCGTTTAGATGACTTGAAGCGTGTCATTTTTCGTGCCCCTGTGCGGGAATCGTAGCTCTTAGCGTGCGAGACGTGGTTTTGCTGCGCAGGCGCAGTGTTTTGGAAGGCTGCGTATTCTTGTTGCCGTGCCAGTGGGATTTGCGATCCAGGGTGGTCGTTTTGAGGTGCCTGCTTGGCAGGCGCGTGATAGTGTTTGCGCCGGTGTCGTTTTCGTTGTCGCGCAATCGGCTCGTTTTGGCGAGCCTGAAGCATGTCAAAATTGGTTCAAATCATTCTGGCGCCACAGTCCCGTGCTAGTTTTGGATGCGTGTCGTAAACGTGTCAAATTCGGGTTTCGTGGCAGGCAGCAGTTTGGATGATTTTGAGTTTGTGGCAAGCTTACCTTGCGTGACAGGCGCAGCACTTTCGAGCATTTTGGTTGAAGTTCGTGGCAGGCGCAGTACTTTGGCGCCTGGGTGTAGATTTCGTTCCAGGCGCGTCACTTTGACTCAGCGAGATCGCTCTCGCTGTGGCGCGATGCACATGTTGAGAATGCGAAGCGAACCCTCTGCGCACTTCGGGGTGGGTCGAATCGCTCTCGCTGTGGCGCGGTGCGCTTTTTGCAAACGCGAAGCGAACCCTCTGCACACTTTGGGTGGGTCAAATCGCTCTCGCTGTGGCGCGGTGCGCATATTGAGCATGCGAAGCGACCCCTCTGCGTACCTTGGGTGGGTCAAATCGCTCTCGCTGCGGCGCGGTGCGCATTTTGAGCATGCGAAGTGACCCTCTGCGAACTTTGGGTGGGTCGATTCGCTCTCGCTGTGGCGCGGTGCACATTTGGGTCGAATCGCTCTCGCTGTGGCGCGGTGCGCATTTGCAGACAGAAGTGTTTCAGAAGTGTCGATCACAAGTGTCCATTAGAAGTGTCGTTCAGAAGTGTCGATTAGAAATGTCGTTCAGAAGTGTCAATGAACAGTGTCGCTCAGAAGTATCGGTCGGAAGTGTCGACAGAAGTGTTGCTCGGAAGTGTCGATCAGAAGTGTTGCTCAGAAGTGTCGATCAGAAGTGTCGAATAGAAGTTTTGCTCACAAGTGTTGCTTATCAGTGTCAATCAGAAGCGTGGTGTTGCTCAAACTGTCGATCAGAAGTGCCAATCAGAAGTGCGGACCAAAAGTGTCGCTCAGAAGTGTCGATCAGAAGTGTTGCTCAGAAAAGTCGTCGCTCAGAAGTGTTGATCAGAAAAGTGTCGCTCAGAAGTGTTGCTCAGAAAAGGTGTGGTTCAGAAGTAAGTGTTGATCAGGTGTCGCTCAAAGTGTCGCTCAGAAGTGTGAATCAGAAGTGTTGCTCAGAAGTGTCGATCAGAAAAAGTGTCGCTCAGAAGTGTTGCTCAGAAGAAAAGTGTGGTTCAGAAGTGTTGATCAGGTGTTGCGCAAAAGTGTCGCTCAGTACAAGTCTAGTACGCGAAGCACAGGTACGCGAAGTCCAGCTCTAGCTGGAAATCACAACCTTGTAGCGCAAGGTACAGGTTTCCAGCTCTAGCTGGAAAATCGCAACTTTGACAAGTCTAGCGCGCGAAGTACCGGTTTCCAGCTCCAGCTGGAAAATTGCGACTTTGTTGTACAAGTCTAGCGCGCGAGGTACAGGTTTCTAGCTCTAGCTGGAAAATCGCGACAAAGTGTCGCTCAGAAGTGTTGCTCGGAAGTGTCGATCAGAAACAGTGCTGTTCAGAAGTGTTGATTAGGTGTTGCTCAAAAGTGTCGCTCAGAAGTGTCAATCAGAAGTGTTGCTCAGAAAAGTCGATCAGAAAAAGTGTCGCTCAGAAGTGTTGCTCAGAAGAAAAGTGTGGTTCAGAAGTGTTGATCAGGTGTCGCTCAAAAGTGTCGCTCAGAAGTGTCAACGAGAAGTGTGGGTCGGAAGTGTTGCTCAGAAGTGTTGATGAGAAGGGTTTCTCAGAAGTGTGGATCAGAAGTGTCGATCAGAAGTGTTGCTCAGAAGTGTCCCTCAGAAGTGTCAATTCAGCAGTGTTGCTCAAAAGTGTCGTTCAGAAGTGTCGATGAGAAGGGTGGATCAGAAGTGTTGGTCAGAAGTGTTGCTGAGAAATGTGGTTCAGCAGTGTTGCTCAAATTGTCGATTAGAAGTGTCAATCAGAAGTGCGGATCAAAAGTGTTGCTCAGAAGTGTCGATCAGAAGCGTTGCTCAGAAAAGTCGATCAGAAAAAGTGCCGCTCAGAAGTGTTGCTCAGAAGTGTCGATCAGAAAAAGTGTGGTTAAGAAGTGTTGATCAAAGTGTCGCTCAGAAGTGTCAATCAGAAGTGTTGCTGTGTCGCTCAGAAGTGTTGCTCAGAAGTGTTGCTCAGAAGTGTTGCTCAGAAGTGTCGATCGGAAAAAGTGTGGTTCAGAAGTGTTGATTAGTTGTCGCTCAAAAGTGTCGCTCAGCAGTGTGAATCAGCAGTTGTGCTCAGACATGTCGCTCAGTACGCGCTGGAAAATCGCAGCTTTGTAGTGCAAGTCTAGTGCGCGAAGTACAGGTTTCCAGCTCTAACTTTGTAGCGCAAGTATAGCGCGCGAAGTACAGATTTCTGGAAAATCACAATTCAAGTGCAAGTCTAGTGCACGAAGTACAGTTTTCCAGCTCCAGCTCGAAAAGTCGCAACTTTGTAGTACCAATCTAACGCGCGAAGTGCAGGCTTCCAGCTCCAGCTGGAAAATCGCGACTTTTTTGCACAAGTCTAGTACGCGAAGTACAGGTTTCTAGCTCTATCTGGAAAATCGCGACTTTGTAGTACAAGTCTAGTACGCAAAGTACAGGTTTCTAGCTCTAGCTGGAAAATCGCAACTTTGTAGTACAAGTCTAGTTCGCGAAGTACATGTTTCCAGCTGCGGCTGGTAAATGGCGACTCTGTAGTACAAGTCTAGTGCGCAAAGTACGGGTCTAGCTGGAAAATCGCAACTTTGCATTACCAGCTCTAGCTGGAGAATCGCAACTTTGAAGTACAAGTCTAGTGCACGAAGTGTGCAGGTTTCCAGCTCTAGCTGGAAAGTCACAACTTTGTAGTGCAAGTATAGTACGTGAAGTACAAGTTTCCAGCTCTGGCTGGAAGATCGCAGCTTTGAAGTGCAAGTCTAGCGCGCGAAGCGCAGGTGTCCAGCTATGTAGCAACATGTTGAGCACGCAAAGTACAGTTTTACAAGCTGAAAAACATAGTTTGCGCAGTAGGCTTGATTGCGAGCCCCATTGGCTTATACCGAAAAATATGCTCTCTATTTTTCTTGGGTTTGCGCAAAATGATGTGCATTCGGTTCGTGGGCTCTGTCTTGTTCGAGATGTTCCAGGTGATGCGGCTCATTTGTTGGAAAAAATGTCCAGGGTTTGTGCGGGTCTCGACCCCAAAGTGCCCCTCACGCACAACTGTCCGTGGAGCGGAGGCGAACGCTGGAAGTGTCCAAGGCCCTTGTGTGAGCGATTTTGAGCCACAGGCAAGCAACTCGGCTCCAGCATGTCCACGGTGTTCTCACTCCGAAGCAACTTTTGAAGAAGCTCTGTGAGTTTCTCTGTGTGTGCGTTGTTCGTTGAACAGGTGAAGAGTTCTTCTTTCTGCATGCTTTGAAACGGGCTCCATTTCATGTTTCAATGGGTCAAAGTTTTTTCTTCTTTTTTTCCTGGAGGCAAGCTGTCCAACGTCGCACGTGGCGACTGTACAGCTTGTGAATGTGAAGAAAGCAGAGCAATGTTTCCACGCTGCAACGATGTTAGTGATTGCTGATCGTCTTGCCTGGAGTGCGCTGCCCAGTCGTTGCCCTCAGGGAAAAGGAAAAGAGAAAAAACAAAACACGGAAAACACATACATTGCCATGCCTGAGCCTGCATTATGGCCTTTTGATCTCAATATTGCAGGTTTACCCAGTTGATTGCTGCCTGCAATGGATGAGAAGAGCAGATGGGAGCGCACCGTCTACATGGGAAACCTTCCGGACGACATCCGGGAGCAGGATATTGTGTACATCTTGCAAGACTTTGGGCAAATTAACGATATAGATATCAAACAAGCTCCACACGGTGTGACATACGCGTTCGTGGAGTTTCGCAATGCTGCGGATGCAAAGGACGCAGCACTACGAAGGGACGGCTTCGACTTTGAAGGAGAACCGCTCCGAGTAGAGATTAAAGATGGCTTCAAAGGCAAAGGAAAGTCAAAAGGCTATGGAAAAAGCAGCCAAAAGACAGGTGATGATGAGTTTTGCTTGGAGATCTCCGGGTTGCCGGAAGGCACTTTGTGGACGCAGCTAAAGGACCACATGCGGCAGGCTGGAGATGTATTGTATTGCGACATATTCCACCATGGTCGTGCTCAGGTGAGATTCAATGGCTACGCTGGGGCGAAGCGAGCCGTGGAGACCTTGGACGGGTCCTCTTTCCAAGGGAGCCACCGGATTCGGGTCTGGTGGTCGCAGCGTCGACGGGACTGGGACGACCGGGGTTCCCCGCGCAGCCGCAGCCGGCGCTAAGCTTGAAGCTCTCTCTCGCTCGCGAGTTCGCGAGCCAGGGCGCCGCCGGGCAGGCACGGCCGGGGTGGGCGCTAGGGAACTTGGCATCGTGGCATCGCCAGGATGGATATGTGTGATAGAAAGGCCCATTGTGGAAAGGCCGGAGCTGGAAAAGCCGGCTCCTGTTGTGTTAGTGATGTGATGTGTTGATACCGACGCAATAGAGCGGTAAAATATTTGCTCGAGATCTTAGATGCTGCTTTCCGCTGAACACGTGTGTGCTTGTGCTCTTGGCTTCTGTGATGTGAGACGCATGCATCCAGTCCTCGGAAATTGATTTATGCTGCAAGGATGCTAGCTCAAGAGGGCTGCATTGTCCGATCACGAGGAATGTTGCAACGGAGATATGTGGATGTGTGCGATCTCCGCAGCAAATGTTGAAAGAGAAAAAGCTGAAGACGGCACCTGTCTCTTGACCATCTTTGACCGAGTGTCCTAATATGTTGATGGATTCCTGCAAGAGAAGAGCCATTTTTTTGAGCTTGATTTTTCATTTGTCGATGGGCAACATCCTGCACCGGCAGGTGTTTGATCCATACCTGGAACCTCCGTCCGGCCAAACTTTTAGCCGTTTTGCGTTCAGACAAAAAATCAGCCGCAAGTAGAACAAATCGCCGGCAGCTCTGAAATAAACGCCGGCAGCCAAAAAAAAGCCGTAAAGCCTGGTCCAACACGTCCGAAACTGAACCAAGCACTTGCTCACACAATGCAAAACCAACTGGCATGCCTTCGATTCGCTCACAAACGCTGCTGAAAGTTATGGAACTGGGCACGCAGCCACGACTCCACCTGTGCAGAGAACAATGCGTAGGCCGGAAATGGCAAACACTTGCACGTCCATAGACGAGCTTTGGCACTGTCGGTGCCCGCAACTACATAGCCAACTGCATCATGATTTCCGCCGGCAATGCATTTGTGACCAGACCTGCTTTGCACAGTGATGCTAATAACAGCACGAATCCAAGGTAAGGAGATCAAGCAACACAATCCCAGGCCCTGAAAACGTCCGCTAGTTGGACGCTTGTTTCCGCCGTAATCCTGCGTGTTTCCGCCGTAATCCCACGTGTTTCCGCCGTAGCCCGAAACACCAACAAAATACAAAACCGTCTATTTGACCGTGCATGCAGGCAAAAACTGATTCCTGCACTTTGGAGCAACCAGCCCCTTTGAAGCCAGAAGCAGTGGAGACAAATCGGGCACACGCATTGAACAAACAAAATACATACATCCGGGCTGCGTCATGCCCTCATTGAAGAGATTGGCGGTAGGCATGCGCAGGTACTGCGGTGGCTACAAGTTGCAAAAAGCTGCTTTGTGGCTGCATATGTTGAATATAACAAGTCAAACGGCGGTTTGCACAATCAACGCTTGTCACACTGGTGCATGCTCATGGGTCAAAGCAAAGGTCGTGGCAGCAATGCTATTTTCAGGCCGCGTGTGAAAAACCCCGCCGGAAAAGCAAAAATGCCGCACGATTTTTGGGAGATCCCAATTTCCGCCGGCGGACGCAAAAAGGCGCCTTTTTGAGTCCGTGGCTGAAATTTTGGCCGGAAGGAGTTTCCAGGTATCCCTTTCATCCATCCTGGTGCAGGATTTTGTCCGTACACAGTATGGCTTCCACCCAAGCCAAAAGCCTAAAGAGCCCAGGTCGGCCGTGCCGATGAGGAGCACGGGCAGCCTGCAGGCTGGGCAGATGGTGAAGTGTGTGTCTCTCTGCCACCCTCCCTTGGCCTGAAGCACTTTGGGTGTGCCTTTGCTGATACCATTTTTGCGTCCTTTGGCAGGACGCAGAATTGGACACCAGCTTTGTGGGGGGTCATCATCTCGAGACAACGCGGGTGGAGGATGTTGGGGTGAGTGCCCCTTGCGATCCTGTGTTGCAAGGCTGGTGTCCCTTCCAATATCAACCAATTGGTTGGTCGCAGCGTTATTTTCGTGTGACCAGGAGCATGTTTTGACATGTATACCCATGGGTATCAATTGGGCGTCAGTTGAAGTTTAAAGTTTAGGACGAACTTCTAGCTGAGCTAGCTCTTTCCACGAATGCATGCGCTCGCACGTGTTTTTTAAGACTAGCACTGAGCACTGCACGTGAAAAAGAAAGCGAGAACTGGGAAATAGAAGTGGGCCTAAAACGCGGACCCTTGCGTGAATTCGCCTTGGTCGTGACGTCTGTACGGAAGCGGGCTCGGAGCGCTTGGCAAGCCACGAAATGGAATACTCTCTGGGGGGACTATCGTGGGGCCGGCCTCAAAATTTCACGATTGATCTTCACTTGGCTCGCGCGACCTTCTGCGTACTGAAACTCCTTGGGTGTTTTTTGTTTGCGCTTCTCAGCGCGCTCAACGACCCTTTGCAGACTTTCGACGTGTCGACCCCAAAAATATGGAGGTGTTCTGCGTTGTTCACCTCGCTCGCCGTTTCACGTTTGTGGGCGAAAGAGAGAGAGAGAGAGAGAGAGAGAGAGAGAGAGAGAGAGAGAGAGAGAGAGAAGGCGAAAGAGCCGGAGAAAGAGCCAGGGAACGAGAAAGAGCAAGAGGAAGAGAAAGAGCAAGTAAGGAAAATAGAAAGTGAAAGAGCAAGGTAAAGACGAAAAGATAAGTTAACGATAAGTAAGAAAGAGAAAGAGAAGGAGAACGAGAACCAGAAAGAGAAGGAGACAAAGGCAGAGGCAGCAAAAGAGAAAGAGCAAGAGAAAGAGGAGTTCAAGACAATGAGAGAGAGAAAGCCAAGAAGAGCAAGAAATGGACGACGCAGAGAAATCGAGAAGAACAAGAAGGCAAGAATAAAAATGAGGAAGATGAAGAAGAGGAAGAGAAAGCAACAGATGAATATGTATAGAGAAGAAGGAGCAAAATGAAAGATAGCTAAGGAGGACAAGATAGCTAAAGAGAAGGAACACGAGAGAGAAAAGGAGACAAAGAAAGATAAGACAGAAGTACTCTTACTTGTGAAGCTGTAGTTGTATTGCTCCAAACTGTAGTTCTCTTACTTTTGAAACGTCCTCCCGCCGGCTCTGCCAGACATTGCTGGTTCTTAGCAATCAGCCAACAAGATGTTGCGTATAGCGAGAGATGTTTTCAGTGCCCAATACACAAAGTGTAAACCGCGGCTTGAATTCCTCAGCAAAACGCTGCCTTCTTCACATGTGATTTTGCACTTGGCTCTGAGGTGTTGAATTGTGGCGCCATAGGAACTAGCTGGCGATATCATAGCCTGCCCTAGTACGCCCGGCATTTTGCGTCAACGCTTGCGGCACAGGCGCCATCAGAGGGCAAGTTCCAGCAGAAGTTTCAAGAGACCTTCCAAAGCATGAAGGCTGGAAGGATGCAATGACACAGCCTATGGGAGCCTTAAGAGTTGAGCGTGGCCTGGCTTCTTTAAATCACGGGCCAAACACGAACCAGAGCATTGAATGAACACCATGTTGTCCCTTGTTGTCTGCCGCCGAAAACAGAAATCCCGCTACGTGCAAGACTGACCTCACTGGAAACAAAGTCAGTTAGGAGGTAGGCACCAGCCAGTAGGGGCAACCGTTTTATGTGCTGAGAGACAGACCGGCACTTGATTGTGGATCGTTTGGGCGGAGCTTATCCAGGCCTCGCCCAACTACACTCCACGAAGCGGGGAGCCCCAGATCCATTGCAGGCGGTCATTCATTTTCAAGGCTGTCAAGCCTATGATACGTTCCAGTACCAAATCGGTGCTCGTCAAGATGCACCTGCAAAGGTGCGCATAGCCTGGGATCCAACCCCTGCGAGAACGTTCAAAGGCTTATTGGGTTCGCGTGCGTTCGCCAACGCCACGCTTGCATACTCATAGTCTACCAGCGCACATTTGATTGGATTATGAATATGTCGACAATGATACTATGCCCATGTGGATGTCAATATAGACTCCATTCCAAATGTTTTATGCTTGTCATTAGCAAGGTGTAGCATCTCATCCGGAGCAATGCTGCATGAGTCTCGGGTCTCACAAGTGCTGACAAATCGCAGCATGAATCCCACGCCACTGCCAAACCAGTAAGCAAGTTTTCGAAGTCTCACGAATTGACTCTCCGTTTCCGGCTCCGTGCTAGCCATTCTGGGCTCCAGTGCAGGGCCGAGCGAGCGCTTGCATTCTGTTTTTGGCTTCTGACCACCCGAGAGGTGTGACCGAGTAGAGTGCACAGCGTTCATCGCGCGCTGGTTGGAGGCGATGCCGATCTACGAGGAAAAAGTGATTTCCCCGTTTGCGCTTCACTTCACGCAGGAGCATATCAAGACCCTTTTTCAGGACGGGCGGGTTGTGGAGGACACCATCCCAGAGATCCAGGTTGAACAGGCAGATGGTGAACACTTCGACCTCATCCTTAAGGCGCCATTTCCGAACATCGAAATCCTGCGATGGCATCCGCTGCACGCTGATGACAGCAAAGAGGCTCAATGGTTTACTTTGGACAATCGACGCCTGTACTGCCTGCAGCGCATGGCAGCTGAGCATTGGCCAAAGCGGGTGGGTGCCTTAGTGGACATCCTGTATGCAGATCCCGGCAGGATCCGGAAGAAGTACGACTCCACCACAGAGGGCCGGTCTGTTACCATCTCTCCGTCTGTGAAAGTGGAAGCAATCCGCAGATGGGATTGGTGTGTCCAAGTCGATGAGAATGCCGAAGCCGTTCTGGTGGCGAAAGCCCTGGAGGCTGTAAGAGCAGACTGTGCAAAGCCATCTGTGGCGGAGCTATGCAATGTCCCGCCTCCGGCCTTTGAAGCCGTGTTCAAGGACCAGACCGCCAGCCTGGTGTCCATCCTCGCGGCATCCTTGGCTCGGCCGACCGCGACCGAGACCGAAGGGGCCGAAGCGGCCGAAGGGGCCGCGGAGACCGAGACCACGACGGAGAGCACCGTGGCCTCGGAGGGGGAAAGCGGATTGGAGAGCACCCCGCGGGACATCCCTTCGGGGCCGAAGGTGGAGGCGCAAGCCATGGTGTGGCGGCCCAAAAGCGCAGCCCTGAGATCCGACCCATCCGACCCATCCGACCCATCCGACCCATCCGACCCATCCGACCCATCCGACCCATCCGACCCGCTGGAAGAAGAGGTCATCGCGCAGGTGCAAGCTCAGCTAGCGCAGCCCGGGCGCAGAGGCTTTGTGTGGATCGAGCAATGGCACCAGAAATACCAGAAGCGACTGGGGAACTTGCGCGCCTTCTTGGAGAGCAAGCCAGACGTGTTCACTGTAAAGCCAGGGAAGGGTCGAGCGTACAGGGTGGAGGCAGTGGCAGTGTCTGCATCAATCGACAAGAGCTCTGGCAAGTGGCGTCGATCTGGAAGGTGGAACCGCTATGAACGCATGTCCGGATAAGCCTTCGGCAGTGCAAGCTTCTGTAGCTTGCAGGTTCATTCGGGATTTGTGTACAGAGTTCAGCGCCTCTTGAGGTTGCAAACTCGGAAATAATCGAATATACCAGCAGCCCGAGAGTTGTGGACACTTTCGGGTGACGTAATTTTGCGACGGCTTGTAGCCGTTTGTGCCGGGTCCAACCCAGAGCACGGGAATCTGCTGTCTTGAAGAACGACAGAGGCTGCCGTTGTGGGGTGTCTTCCAGTGGCTAACTGCTGACATTCCAGAATGTGCGGTAACGTGGATATTGTACAGAAACCTCCGCCAGGCATGACTGAACAGGCCATGATCGGCGAATTTTCAAGGGAGGCGCCGCACCAGACCGCATCATCTCTGCCAAACAGTGCGGGATATGCGTTTCAGGACTAGTTGCAGGGGAAGCGTATTTTTGTTTGGTTTCCACAGCCCTGTGGCTGAATCCCTAAATAAAACTACTGCCAGACAATTTGGGCTTCAGTCTGCTCCAAGAATCAGGGCGGCAGCTGACCATCGTCCGCTTTGCAGGCCAGCCGCAGAGCTTGCCACTGCGATTGTTGTGGCCAGAGCAAACGGGGCTGAGGTGAAGTGCCCTACCATAGCCCATACGGCGAGTGGCTTGGATGCAATTGGCAGGGCCAGAATAGTGGTTTGTCAATCCTTCGAAACTGAACACCAGTGGTTTCCATGCAAGGCCAGTTAACCTGCAAGGGAAACGCACTAATTCAGCCAGCGTGAGCCTTGCCGGCACATGACATATAGGGTGGGGCCTTTGCTATATCGAGCGATGAAACGCTTAGTTTGCGGCGCTAGACTTTTGGGGCTTTTTTCGTTCCTCTTCTTCTTTGGTTGGATGCCCATCTCAGGCTAGGTATCTCTAAGCATAGCGATGCGGGACGGTTTCCAGACTGTGTTCTTCAACTGCTTGTGGATGCGGATAGTGAGGCCGAGTTAAAGGAATGGGACAACATATTTTGCCTCAACAGCAATAATAAGCGTTGTTGGGGAATGGTTTGACCGAGAGGGACCAATAGATGGTTGGCTTCTACATTACTATTATTATCCTTTTTGGTAGAAGTATTGTTGTCATCATTGTTATTTGTTATGTTTGAATGCAACAATATAGAGGCATACAGCAATACACATTGTATTGTCCAGCCTGAAGTGATTTACCTGGGAATGCCAACCACAGACTTGGCAAATGACAAAACTAGGCATGCCCTGTTCGTTCTAGACGTTTTCTTCAAGAATCTACTGATCCGTTCATCTCATGCACGCTGCATGCACAGATTCAATAGAATCCTTCATGATGTGCAATGAGTAGCAAACGCAGTTGCTTGTTTGTTTTTGAGGTTTCCACTTCCCAAGCCTTGCTCCAAGGGCATTGCACTCCAGGATTGGCTGCCGCTTTGTTTCCTCTGGAAGCTGAGCAGGGCAACCACGGCTGGTACATAAGCAACTCCTATCAGCGTGAGGGGCGTGTGCCCAAGATATTCTTATCCGACCAAAAGCTTGCCGAAGTATTTCCTGAGACATATGCTACAGTACAGCTACGCAAGAAATGGGCAAGGCATTTGGTAGAAGAGGTACTAGAGTGTTTGAACATGTGGGAGTCGTTCTGAAGGTCCTAAGGAGTTTAGTATTTCGGGATTCGCGAATGGCCGTTTCGAGACAAAGGAATTTAGAACAACCACCATGTGTCAGGAGCAAGGGAGTTCCCCTACGTGAAGCCCAAAGGCTTCCAGGGGACACGCCTGGAAGCTCCAGAAATGTACATCAGGCATCGTTGCTGAGAGAGCGTGTCTATACCATGGGTTTTGTTCAACATGATCCGCTTCCGACAGGGATACGGTGCATGTTCTTGATTTGAGGGTTTGTGCGGTGACATGGCATGCTTCCTTTTGGTAGAGGTCTTGACATGAATATCTACGTGATATATCATGCAAAACGCATGTGAACCATTACAAGGATGCCACTGTTGCAAGCAGATACGTCAAACAAGTACGTAGCGAAAACGGTTCCCAGCCCTAAATAACCATCATGTCGGCACATTTGTATCAAATTTTCGTGCCTACCGAAAGGAAGTCAGTTGCGATTTTTTCCGGGCCCAGTCAGACCAGTCAGACCAGTCAAGGCCGTCCTTGCGGTTAACACATATCAGAGTTTGGGATTGCATGCGCGGAGCTGGCTCAGTTGCTTTAAGCTGTGGAAAGCGGCCGACGCAGCTGACAGTCGACTGTGGGTTACAGCAAATTTATGTTTCCTGAGTTCAAGAAAGATACCACGCATGCCTTGGAATTAACATCCAGCTTGTGTCCCGGAGTTGTTGGGAGTTGTTTATCTTGGCCCTCTTCTGGTGTTAGAATGTTGCGGTCAACAGCCTAATTGCACAGGGATGTGCGTTTTCTCCAGCCAACATGTTCCAGGCGCTGACGCCAGGCTGAGAGTTGCCACACAGGTTCAGAAAGGAGTGGCGATCACATGTAATGAATTCGAACTTACTGGCAGTTTTTGTTTCGCCTTTTCCAGCAAGACATCAGGCATGGCATGCATTTGCTCCAAGTTGCAGCACGCAACATGTCCAAGGTAAAATGCCCACAAGCAGGGAACCTCCCGTACAAAGATATCTCCAGAAACATGTTTGCGAACACAGACCTGTGTTATGTTTCAAGTGTGAGGCCAAGAGAGGGATAGGCAGAGACATGTCACGTCAAAGACTGGTAGCAATGTTTCATTGGGTACACTGTCACTGACAATTGCTACATTGTCCAGGTCATTTGGTCAATTTGCCGCGTGCATGTTGTTTTCGCTGCCTTGCTGATCATGATGGCTTTGGCTGACAGCTTCGCAATGCAAACAGTTTTGTCTGTCAATTGGCACACAAAAGGCAGCGTACTCCAACAGATCATGTGGGTATGGGTCAAAATTACAGCACCAGGGGACCGCAGGTGTTAGTTTTTGGTTCCATTTACAAGGGTTCCAAAACGGATACCCATTTTTGACCCACAGCCATGTGAGTTAACATGCTGGCACTTCCTAGCTTGACCTCAAGGCAATCGCCATGACATCCGTCCTGGCTTCGTCGGATATGATGATGTCTTTATTAATGCCTTGTATAATAGAAAAACTGCAGAGGGCATGAACTTTGAACGGTTGTGGCTGTGCATAGGCATGGGGTGTCCGTGCAATGGACATTGAGGGCTATGGTGAATTTGCCGGCGGCTCCGACGATGACGATGACATCGCCCGCTTTGAGCGCCAGTGTGCTGAACGAGCGCGTGCGGAGGGAGAGCTTTCAGAAGAAGGCTCCGATGAGGAAGATGAGGAGGTCAAGAAGAGGCCGGACCGACTTGATTCCCTGGTGAATTCTTCAGGTATTAGCCCAACTTGTTCTTGAGCTCCATGTCTATTTGTTCGTCCATGCCATACATCAACACATGAGAAGTCTGCAGAAGTTGCATAATATAGGAACAGGTTATCCCCTATGTTTAGGCATTCGGGGTGTTTGTGTGCACAAGCATCTACATTTTTGCATTACTGGCAGCAGCCTGGGTTGTCCAAATCCTGTGCACGGTGACGGTATGTCAAGCAGAAGCAGAGGTGCATGCTAAAAGCACAATGGCGTTTGCCTGTGCCGGCCAGCAGCTGTTTCTTCGGTCTTGCACCACAGATACTGCTCTTTTGTCAGTTTCGTTATGTATCACAAGTCATGAACCAGCTTGAAGCCATTTGAAGCCCCAGGCGCCTGGTCAATGGAAAGGGGCCGCTGCCCCAAAACATGGGCGAGTGGCAAGAGAAGTGCGAGCTCATGCAGGAGAAACTGTCCAGGAGGGAGGCAGAGCTTACGCAAGCACCATGGCTGCGGAGATTTGTGCACTTGCGGGATTGGTGTCTCACGGTGAAGGACATCAACCCCAAACATGAACCATTGAGCAAAAGGTATTTCGGCTCAGCTTCCAACTATACTTTGTGGTTGAAGAGTATGCAATGGCAACTTGAGGCCATGTGATTGTTGTCATGGAGCTAATTGTTGCAGTGGTGTGACACTATGCGCCTCGCAAGTTCTTCGGGGTCGACAAGAACGGCATGGCCATGTCGCTCTACCCACCGATGTGGAAGCTTAAGGAACAAATTTGTTTTTCGTCAGTCCATTGTTGTTGTTCTTTCGCGAAGCGCTGCTTCAGTAGTACTTTGCATGGTTTTAGCGTGTTAGCTTGTTGAAACAGCTCAAATTGCAGTCAGAAACCAGGGTTCTTTGGGGAATCCTACAAGTGTGATTGTAGTGAACACGAAGACAGTCTTGGTGAACACGACGACAGAGTCTTCCGCACGTGCATGTGTTTGAGCAATCTTGAAGAACCTGCAACAGTTCAAAACAGCTCGAAGACAACAGCAAAAACAGACGAACGAAAGCAAAAGCCAAAGTCCTGAGGGAACTGTTTTGGTCATGCCCAATACTCAAGAGGCCTACCATGTTCAAAACAAGAAACACCTCGAAGAAACACATCGATAAAGACAAAGTCCTGAGGGGCATATGTTGGTGATACCCAATACCTTTGTTTGGGGGATTGTTGGTTTTGCTCGAGTTGTTTTTGCTTTTTTCTTTTCAGATTGGGCCATTGTCCTGGCATTCTTAAAGGTATTCCCTGAAATTGCCTCTGCTGTTCCTTCAATTAGCATCTTCTTGGTATACTTTTTGGTATTCTCTCAGTACTCCCCAAATATTTCCTCAATGTTTCCCAAGAACTTCTTTGGTGATTCCCTAGCTTGCTCCCCGTATTCAGTATTCCCCTAGTAGTCCCCTATTCTCCCTGCGGTATTCCCGTAGTATTCCTTTAGTATTCTCTTGGTATACCCTCTAGTCAACGTTTTATGGTATTCCCTCAAGTTTCCCAAGTATTCCCTCAGTATTCCCTCCGTATTCTCCTAGTATTCTTCCACTAGTGCCCTAGTATTCCTTTAGTATTTTCTTGGCATACGCCTAGTACTCTTTTAGTATTCCCCTAGTATTGCCTCAATTTTCTCGAGTATGTGCTTAGTAAATTCGCTAGTTTTATCCTAGCCTTCACCCTTAGTATTCCCCTGGCAGTCCCCTGCCTAGTAGTATTTTAGAATTCTTTTGGTAGTTTCCTTAGCATTCTGCCAGTATTCCCTTGTCATTTCCCAAGTAGTCCCTCAGTATTACCCCAGTATTTCCTAATATTCACGCTTCGTGCTTCCCTAGCATTCCCTTAATATGCCAATGGAATTCCCCTTAGTATTGCTCTAGTTTTCCCCAATTCCTGTAGTGTTATCTTAACCCCAGTATTTGTATTATCCTCGTATTCCTCCAATATTGCCCTGTATTCCTCAGTATTTTCTTGGTATACCCCCGGCATTCTCGCAGTATCCTTAGTATTCTTTTACCCCTAGTATTCCCTTAATATTCTCCTACTATTCCCCTTAGTATTCTCGTAGTACTCCCCTATTCCTTTAGTATTTTTTATTCCCTAGCATTTGTATTCTTATGATGAGAACTAGAAATAGTCGAGGGAACAAGGATGGCAGAGTTGAACAGATGCTGTGACAGAAGCATATGCAATGTTTGAATTCCTTTCAATCAAACCTGACATTAGCTTGTTTCCCATCCTGGCAAAAGCCAGTTGTACGCGTAAATTACACCCACTCAGGGCATTGGCGCCGTTTTGCAGTTTGGTGTTGATTTGGTATTGCCTTGACTGTCGGGTTTGCAATCTTGTGCTGATCTACATCAAATTTATGCAATTGGAGAATAACATATTGTTGTCAGTTGTCCGGGAAAGAGCCAAATTCAACGGTTTTGAACGTGAGTCATGTCTCCAAATGCATTCCATATTCGCCAAGACACCCAAATCCGAATATGAGAGGTCTGTTCGTGCATGCAAATTGGGGCTCTTTAAGAACCGTAAGGCTGCCTCAGCTTAAGTCACGCCACTCACGGGTCGCTGCGCTTGACCCGACAACTCTCAACGTGGCCTCCATAGTTGACTGGGGCTTCTGCTGCTTAGCTGGTTCCCCCAGTAGTGCCCTTTACCCTTTATTGGGGGAGGGTTCCCCTACTAAAATAGACTACAGAAAAAAAATCGGGCACCCTTATTCTAACCTCTCTACTGAAGGACCTAGTTAGAGTATGCGAGCCCGATGGGTGCCTCCCGGCAAGGTCAAGCAAGACCTGGACATGCTGCGCAACGACGGACTTGGCCCGGATGACCCCCAGACAGCCCTCAAGCAGCGGTTGCTGGACCTGACAAAGAAGAACCGCCGCATGCAGGCACGTGGGCTGTGGATGCTGCACATCTCATGTGGGGGGAGAAATGTATTGGGGCAGTGCACAATGACTGCTTACTCCGTTGGTGTTGCTGTCATGTTTCCAGACACATAAGACAATCGCACCTACTACCAGCAGCGAGCGTAGAAGTTTGTTGCCGTCACGGACATTTAGCTTTCGGGTCAACTATCCACCGGATCGCAGATGATGTGGGCTGCCATGACAACATACCTGGAGAGCATTTGGGCCTCGCAAAGGAGCATGCAAGGGTTTCAGGTCGAGCAACTGGCCTGATTCGGCGGTTCGTGCGCAATCCAGGAGGAAGGTTTAAGGGTTCCTCCCAAAAGCAGCCCCAAAAGTTGTGCCCTTGTTTTGGTTTGACTCTGCTTGAGTGAGGCCTTCATTACAGCCGTTGCCTCAGTCACAAAAGGAGGGGTTTTTTTTAGGTTTTTTTCCCCCCCCCCCCCCCCCGTTTTTTTTTTGGCTTCTTGGCTTCTTGCTTCTTGGTTTTTCGGCTTCTGGGCTTCTGGGCTTCTGGTCTTTCGGCTCTTGGCTTTCGCATCCTCTGCATTCCCAGTTCCTCTTCAGGTGGCGTTTCGGCTTTTGCGGCTTTTCGCCGGTTTATGCAGCTTTTGGCGGCTTTGGCTTTTCGTACCCTTCGCGCTTTTTGGCTTTTTGCGCCCTTTCGTTGGTTTTTGGATTTGGCTTCCCGCATCATCAGCATCACCACCACCCTATTTGAATCATCACTTCTTCGGACATCATGGGGGGGAACCCCCCTCCCAACCCACCCGCTACTGTTTAGATTATTTGCAGAGTAACACCCCTATTTGAATCAACTCTTCTTCAAACATCATGGGGGGGGTTGCCGCCTCCCCCTCGTTACTTTTTAGATTTCTTGCAGAGATTGAATTGCACCCCTGTTTGAACCATCACTTTTTCGAGCGTCCAATTTCGCAACATTTACACTAGCCCGTCAGCATCCCCAGCATCGTTTTCAACATCCCCCGGGTAACAAAATCCAAGAAGTAGCTGGCGGGTTGACGGGGTCCAAAAAATGATGATTCAACTAGGAGGGCATTTCAATTCCAGTAAAACAAACAACAAAACAAAAAAGCGGGGTTGGGGGGGGCTTCAGCCCCCCCCATGATGGTCGCAGAAGTGATGATTCGAATAGGGGTGCAATTAAATCTCTGCAAAAAGTCTAAAAACTAGCGGGGGGGTTGGGGGGGGGCGGCAGCCCCCCCCATGATGGTCGAAGAATTGATGATTCAACTAGGGGTGCAAATAAATCTCTGTAGAAAATCTAAAACGTAGCGGGGGGTTGGGGGGGCGGCAGCCCCCCATGATGTCGGAAGAAGGGATGATTCAAGTAGGGGTGCAATGATTCAAGAAAGGGTGCGATAGAATTTAAAAGGCAGCGGGAGGGTTGGCGGGGGTGGCTTCCCCTATGATGATCGAAGAAATGCATTCATACTGGCATACATGGATTACACAGATCACCTAAAATGTTGTATTTTAATTTCGCGAGAAAATGCTGTAAAATACGACATTTTACTGGCCCGGACGAAAAACGGAAAAACACAAATCAAAAACGGGAAAACAATCCGCACCCGTCACAAAAAACGCCTTCACCGGGACGACTGGGCTCACCTCCCCCCCCCAGCTGTGCCCTTTGGCGGAACCTTGTGCGAGAACTGATGCAGATTCTCGGAGTCGCCGAATTTTTGTTGCCTGCCAGGTGACGGTGGACAGCCAGCGGGTCAGGCTGCAGCAGCTGGAGACCGAGGCGAAGAAGCCGAAGGAGGACGCCAAGAAGATGGCCGAGGACGGGTTCAACTGGATTCGGGTCCTTCAGTTCCTGCGGGTTGGTTTCGCTTTTTCCCCAAAATGAATCAGTCACGTCGACCCTGAATTGGTGGTTTAGTTTGAACCCTTGCTTCTTGTGGGTAGATGGGGTCAAAAATGGGTACCCGAAATGGCTTGCCCTGGTAGATGGAACCCATGACTAAAACCCGCGGTCCCCTGGAGGGTTTATTTTCACCCACACCCAAAATGAATCAGGTTACCGTGAATTGGTGGTTTGGATTGGTTTGGGGATTTGAACCCCGTTTCTTGTAGAGGGCAGAAGGGAGACCGCTCTAAACCACCAAACCACCAATCCAAAGAACCAATGACAGGGAAGCTGACTGAAGGGAACCAAGCGAGATGCGCCATGACTCGTACGGGCAAGCCATCGACGACTTCCTCAGCCGTTTCCAGCTTGGTGGAAACCTAAAGGAAAACATAGCCGGTTAGACTCAAGGTCCAAGATTGGGCGCCGAAGATATGTGTTGTCTAGCATGCAATCGGCAGCTGGATGTGCATGAGCATGGTAAGCTGCTTTCGAGCACACTTCGTACGGGTTCTGCTTCTCAAGGATCACACAAGCAGATACAGTATCGCCTTGAGCGGCTTGACAGCACGAATCAGAGTTCGCAAACAGAAGATCCAATGGTTGACTGCGCAAGTGTCACAGCTTCTTTGTTCAACTGACGCGGAAGTTTCAAATTGTAAGAACTCTCTTTGATTGTTTCTGCCTATGTCCCCTTTCTTTCTCTGACTCTTTGTATTTGTCTTTCTCTGTATCTTTCCGTTTCTCTTTAGAATCATGCATTTCTTTCTCTGTCCTGCCACGCAAAAAAACACAAACAAAAAAAACAACCTTGGTACTGTTTCTCTCGCTCTCTCTCTCTCTCTCTCTCTTTCTCCAGCCAGCAAAAGGCAACCGCAGAAACCCCCCAGTTTGTTTAGGGCCGACCCACCAAAAGCCCACACAAATTCACCTTTGCTGGTTGCGCAATTGGAGTTATTATCAAAGCCTGGCTATGACTTCTGGGGGAAGAACATCAGCTTCTGACACGATGTGAGGTGTTCCAGAACCATTGTCCTTGTCCTACAAAGGTGTTGGGAATCGTAGTTGTTTTCTTGCGTGTTTGGGAATCAATGGCGGTGACATAGCTCCGCCAGGAGCTGGTCATGCAGAACGCAGCCTTGCTCTATGGCGAAGGAGGCAACGTGGAGGCGCGGAATCGCGAGGGAAATCGAAGCCCACCGCTGGCCTCACCCAAGGATTCATGAGCGGAAGTTGTTGTTGTCCATTACAATCATATGGCTGTGGCTCAAATGAATGTACCAAACATGGCACCTGGGTAAATAGATGTCTTTTTCACGAAGTGGGTCCAGATGTGGCCAGATGTCGACCCGGCTTCCATAACAGAGGGCTTGTGTTTAGTCTCGAAGCAATCATTCTGGCATCTTTGTACACCATGTTGTGCATGTGGCGGAGTAAAACATGTGTTTTTCTTCAACCAGTTGGGTTGCTGCTGCGAAGTGTCCGGAAGGCAATCCACGAGATGCTCTAGGTGCAAGCGGTTTGGGCCGTTGCAAAGTGTATCGGTAGAATAATAGAAATAGAAGCAAGAACAGCAAACGGCTTTCACGGAAGGTGTTGAGAAACCCGAAGACCAAGTCTTCGCATTTGCAGTCAAACATCCGTCCATGTGCCATGCCAGGACTGGAAAAAGAAGTACCTTACAGCCTCCAATCAGCTTCAGCAGGACGCTCTGCTGAATTTGGCCGTGTGTGTGCCACAGCCCACAGGTTCGTGCCTGTCCCAAGTATGTTTGTTACAATGTAGACAGATTAGGCATGTACAAATACAGTTTTACACGTATCATACATACGTATATGTCCATGATATACAAATAGACATGTGTATCCGTATAAATGTTAAGAAGCTTCTTGAAGCTACCCTTTAAGAGGTAAATAACAAGTTGTTTGCGTTGGCCGATCCACGCAGGAAGTGAGTATATTATACTTATATATGTATACATATACATATACGTGCATATTAACACATACATACATACATACATACATACATACATACATACGTACGTACGTACATACATACATACATACATACATACATACACAAATACACAAATACATACATACATACATACATACATACATACATACATACATACATACATACATACATACATACATACATACATACATACATACATACATACATACATACATACATACATACATACATACATACATACATACATACATACACACATCCACACATACACACATACACACATACACACATACATACATACATGCATACATACATACATACATCCATGCATGCATGCATGCATACATACATACATACATACATACATTCCATACATTCCATACATTACATACATTACATACACTACATACATTACATACATTCCATACATTGCATAGATTGCACACATTACATACATTACATACATTACATACATTAAATACATTACATACATTACATACATTACATACATTACATACATTACATACATTGCATACATTACATACATTACATACATTACATACATTACATACATTACATATATTACATACATTACATACATTACATACATTACATACATTACATACATTGCATACATTGCATACATTACATACATTACATACATTACATACATTACATACATTACATACATTACACACATTGCATACATTGCATACATTACATACATTACATACATTACATACATTACATACATTACATACATTACATACATTACATACATTACATACATATCATACATGTCATACATGTCATACATATCGTACATACATGCCGACGATCGCCCAGGAAAGCCTTTGGCTTAGCAACATGTAACGGGATGTACGTGACATACCAACAAGCGTTAGAGAACGTAGCAAACCATTCAGGAATTGAGGGTCCGCACAAATTGATAATGCCATTTGCGTGCCTAAAAGCAAGCTCAACAAGAAAACAGCAGGCGGAGGAGCACATAGCTGTAAGCAACTTGAGAAAGAGCATTGCACAGCATATCAAGACCAAGTGCAAGGCAGGCACGCAGGCAAAGAGGCAAGCGAGCGAGCGAAAGAGTCAGAGAGATAGATCAAGGGGTGCTTGACATTGATGTGGGCGTTTTACGCAAACGTTTGTTTTGTGTAGCACCTCTGATGAGTTTATGACTCTGGCGTGGCTGTTGCTACTTACGAGCATGCCAATTTAAAATGAATACACCCCAAATGACATCTGTCCCTTCAAGTTTTCAAGTCATTTCCTCAGTGAGCTTGGGCACTGTACTGAGGGTTGCCAGGCTCAAGGCTCACCAGTCTGCCCTCAAAAGCTGTTGAGACTGGCAACTTTTGCCTTAGGCACGGAGGGCAAACCACTTTGGACCAGGGTCTCTGCGAGAGCTTTGCGCCGAAGGATGTCATTTCTCGCGACTCGCGAGGTGCGGCACGAGGTGCAGGAGCTCAGAACGCAACTCCAAAAGCAAAAGAAGGCCCGTCCGATCGGAGCGACCGCGACACGCTGGCCCCGGTAGCAGAGCGGGTTCGTTTGAGTCCATAGTATTTGACTAGAGCCTCACACGAAACCAAGCGAGCTCCAAAGGCCAAGCGAAACCAAGGCTTCTCAATTCTCCATGAACATGTGTGCCATTGTGTGCCATTGTGGGCCTGCGAATTCTGAAGTCCAGGTGTTGCTGAAAGAGTTGGGATCCGAAGACTCCATTCAGCAGGCCGGGGGTCGATTGTTTCGCGCGGCGAACATAAACAAAAAATCGGCGCCGGACTGCCGAGGCGTTGGCCGTGGCCGATGACCCGCAGTCACTGCAGTGGAAGGGTCGAGCCATGCAGATTGCGCCTCGGCCGAAACACCTGTTTGGGCTGCAGGCAAAGCGTGGGCATGCCCGATGGTTTGATTTGCCTGGCTTGTGCGCATCAATGTATGATTCCTCCTTCAACATACTGAGCAGCAATTGATGAGCATATTTGTAGCCTGCTACATCGAAGGAAGAATCTGCTTTTGGGAAGAGTGTTCTGGCCATCGACGGACCAGAAGGTGGGAGAGAAGGCATATGCCAGATACAGCAAGGAGCAACCTGCATAACCAACTTCAGTTGAACAAGGGCGGGGAGGGCACGAAGAAAAACAGAGGGCATGTTGTTGAACGTTGCGCTCCAATTGCTGCAGTGACATTATGTGACATTGGTCTGGGTGAATTATAACGACCTCGCACGGCCGAATTCACGCCAAATGTTGGTTTGTGTGGGGAATAGCCCCCCAACCATCTTATTTCAGGTTGGTGAAATATTATAATTCACCCAGATGGATTTTAACAGAAAGAGCGTTGATGGCGCCATGGCGGCTTGAGGCCCAGCTCCAGCGCCAGCTGAAGGAGTTCAAGGCAACGAATTGGGAAGATGTAGGAATCTGGGTGTGGCTTATTTTTTCCAGCGCGGCCACCAGAGGTTTGGTCTACTTTTGCATTTGCCAGGGTTCTATGTTGGGCCCCTATTTTTGAGCCACGCCCATTTATGTCCAATTCGAAGCTCGAGGAAGATCGGCCGATCGGAGCAGCACAAATCGCGGAGTTTGTGATTTCGGGGTATCGTTACTGTCACTTGCATTGTGGGAATGACCCCTGAGGGGGTTCTGGCGAATCAAACCTGCCCTGCATGGGTGGTAAGCTTTCCATGAGATCGTCCTATGCCTATGCTTTTTGTCAACTGAGTGTTGAAGGGCCCAGCCTCACATGAGCAGCGCCAAAAACCCTGACAATACAAAGTAGTAAAGGGGGGTGTCCTATAGAATCCCCGCGAAAGCCAAAACGCAGGCCGCGAAAGCTTGCGAAAGCTTATCGCGAAAGTAACCAAAGAAGGTCCCGCCGCGAAAGACCCGCGAAAGCCTGCATGCTGTGTGACGGTCCGCCGCGGAAGCGTCGCGAAAGCAATTCTAAAGAAACGAAAGCCCGCGAAAGCAAAACATGGGGTCGCGAAAGCATCGCGAAAGGGTCCGCGAAAGCAAGTTTATAGGACCGCTTTTTACACAAGAGTATTTGGCACGGCTCACATGGACTCAAGAGACGTCAGCTACATTGCATGGCTTTTACACGTATAAAGTGCTTATCATTTGCGTGGAGGCTGTGTTCCACATGGATGGCATTGAGACGCCAACATGTGGTCAACCATCTCCTGCCTCATCCTTTAGTGAGAAATGAGGGACCAACGATTCTAGAGGCCATTCCCAAACAATCCAAGGCCAAGCAGCCAGCCTCGAGTTCTCGAGAGAAGCATCGCTTACATGACTCGTCGCGCGTGAATGAGGCCTATAGATATCTGGAGGGTGGGCCAACGTTGAAGGCATGGCAGTGCATTCTTCCGAAATTTTCCGCTAGGGGTTCAAGCGCTCCGTGCCCGTCGGCTCGGCTCTGGAGCTCGTATTAAATACCAGTTGGCCTAGTCCAGGCGTTTTACTTCTGGGCGCCGATGGAGACTCAGCTGGCCGATTCGAAGTGCCCCGCTTTCATCCGCCAGGCGAGTGGCAATGGTGCCGCCTCACAGGAGCGGAGCGACTCCAGCTATGATACGAAAAGAGGAAGGTGCTCCTTTAACATACCTCGCGTGAAAACAGGTTCGACCAAAATAGATGGTGACCAAAGACGATGGAAACCAACATGCGCATTTGATGTAGGAGGTCTGTTTGGGGAGAAAAGGTTTTGCGCGTTGTCAACCTGCCTGGCAGATGCCGGCTTTTGCAGTCTTTCCTTGACCTCCACGACGCTCTCATGGCTTTGGTCTTTGGAACTTGTTGGCCCTTGAAATGTTTGACGAACCTTCCAATTTGGCCAGCAGCCGAGAAGCGGAGTAAGTGGATGGAAGCACTGACGCGCTAAGTTGCCAGATTTGGCATTGAGGGCATTGCGTCGCAGACGATTGGCACTGAGGGCGAGGAAGTCCTTTGAACCGTCAGATCTTTCACAAATTAGGTTGATGAACACCGTCAATCCACATGATGGGTTTTCAATGCTTGTTCCTGGCTTGCGCTTGGCATGTCTCATGCCAATTTACTGCCAAGGGTTCGGATACCAACTTCGGTGTAAGCACGATCAACCCCATCAATTGCTTTTGCATCGCGCAATGCGATAAAATGCAAGTACTGTCATCACCTGACGAATAGCACACGCACGCATGCAGTGCCATGACACCACGTCGAGATGTAGATACCATCCAAAGAACCGCCAGGACACTTGATTTTGGAGTTAGCAGAAACAGGGCTTCATTGCAGATGGTTCATGGAGTGCAGACCTAGTCGAGCCATGCTTGCCAGGAGCCTACAGCTCCTGCTCCAGCAGCAAAGACGAAGGCGCGCTCTCAGCGTATAGTTTTTGCCTGATGCAGTATGTGTGCAAGCTTGCTGGCGCTTCTATTGATATCAATTCGAGCATGCATCAGCCGTTTTTGGGCTTTGGCTGGTGAACTTTTTGCTGGCCTACCTTTAATCATTTGTTTGAGCGGTGAGCTTGGCGCGCGCTGTCGTGAGATTACCATGCGGCCGCCAGCTTTTGCAGCCGCTGAGACGTGGCATATGTCACTATGTGAATGCTGCACATGAACGGGTGTTCAAGTGTTCCAGGATGTCGCAAGTGGAGACAGCGTTGGAACGTAACATGCTTCAAGTGCCCCGGACTTGCTCGAGCAACCGGGACTAGAACTTAGAACACTGCATGATCAAACTTAGTCTTTCTGCCTCGTTTGTCCTTGGTTCTGGTGAAAGGCAATCAAGGCAAACGGGAAACAAGGAGTCGTGCCCCAGCGAAATCCGAATGGACAAATGGTGTTTTGCAACAACCGCGAGTGGCGCATCCCAAAACGGCCACAGGCCGACAACCCAATGGTAGGCTACGCCTCAACCATTCCCGTACAAACGGCTGATTCTTCATTGTTGAGGCATTCAGACTTGCAGAATTGGTGTTAGCCCATTCGCCATTCGCTGTGGGGAAGTTGCATTGGCACGGAGCCGTTTGTCGCATCCACTGCTTCGCTGCCTAGCCACCGCTGCGAGGCTGTGGCGCAGGCAGCAGACAAGCGCAGGGAGGAGTTCGAACGGCTCCAGGCGAGCGACGTGAGCGACGTACGGGCGAGCTCCATGGTGTCGCTCATTAGCAAGAGCATAAGAGCTTGCCCTGGGCTTATCCAGGCATGGGCAACCGGCTTGTGTGTGTGTGTGTTGTGCTTGTGTGAGTTGTTCTTGTTGCGTGTGTGAGCATGTGTTTGCAGGTTAGGCGATCATTGGATAGTTAGTTAGTTGTCTTGTGCTGTGTTGTGTGGTTGGGTTTGGTTGGGTTTGGTTGGGTTTGGTTGGGTTTGGTTGGGTTTGGTTGGGTTTGGTTTGGGTTTGGTTTGGTTTGGTATGTTGGTTCATGTGTTCGTTTGTCTTTTGTTTGGTTGCCTGTTTGTTGTCATTGTTTGTTTGTTTGTTTGTTTGCTTGCTTGCTTGCTTGCTTGCTTGCTTATTTGGTTGGTTGTTTGGTTGGTTGGTTGGTTGGTTGGTTGGCTGTCTGTTTTGTTTTTTTGGCTCTGCTTGTTTGATGGTTTGCGTTGGTTTGTTCGCGTTATTTGATTTGGTTTGCCTTTTGTGGCTTTGTTTGTTTGTCGGTTTGCTTTGGTTTGTTCGCTTTTTTTTCTCCCCGATTTGCTTTGGTTTGTTTGTGTTGCTTGGGTTGATTTGCTGTTTTGGCTTTGCTTGTTTGTCGAGTTGCTTTTGTTTGTTCGTGTTGCTTGGATTGGTTTGCTTTGTTCTTTGTTTGTTTGTCTATTTGTTTGCTTGGTTGGTTGCTTGCTAGCGCGCTTGTTTGTGGGCTTGCTTGCTTGCGTGCTTGCTTGCTTGCTTGTTTGTTTGTTTGTTTGTTTGTTTGTTTGTTTGTTTATTTGTTTGAGTGTTGTTGTGTATTATTGGTTGCTTGCTGCTTCCTTGCTGCTTCCTTGCCTTTGCTGCTTCCTTGCTTGGTCGTTGGTTTGTTGGATTGCTTTTGAGTTTGTGTGTGTGTTTGATTGTTTGTTTGTTTGTCTGTTTTTTTTTTTTTTTTTTTCTCATGTGTTTGTGTGTGTGTGCGTGTTTGCGTGTGTGTCTTGGTTGTTTGTTTGTGTGTGTGTGTTTGCTTGTTTGTTTGTTTGCTTGTTTGTTTGTTTGTTGGTTTGTTTGTTTGTGTGTTTTGCGTGTATGCTTGTTTGGTTTGTTATTTGTTTGTTTGTTTGTTTGTTTGTTTGTTTGTTTGTTTATGTGTCTGATCGTTTGTTTGTGTGATTGTGTGGTTGTGTGTTCGCGTGCTTGTGATTTTGTGAGTTTGCTTTGTTTGTTTGGGTGTTTGTGTACTTTTGTTTGTTTGTTTGTCTCTCTGTTTGTTTGTCTCTCTGTTTGTTTGTCTCTCTGTTTGTTTGTCTCTCTGTTTGTTTGTCTCTCTGTTTGTTTGTCTCTGTGTTTGTTTGCTTCTTTCTTGGTTTGGATTGGCTGTTTTTCTTTGTTTGTTTGTGATTGTGTGATTTTGTTCTGTTTTTTTTTGTTTTTTTTCTGTTTGTTGGTTTATTTGAATGGTTCGGTTTGTATGGCTTATTTGGAATATGTTGTTTTCTTTATGTCCTTCTTTGGTTGTTTCTGTCTTCCGTTCTTGCTTTTGTTTAATTCCTTCCTTCTTTCATTGCTATTTGTTTCTTAGTGTTTCTTTGTGTGCTTGCTTGCGTTGCGTTGCGTTGCGTTGCTTTGCTTGCTTTGCTTGCTTTGCTTTGCTTGCTTTGCTTTGCTTTGCTTTGCTTTGCTTGCTTTGCTTGCTCTGCTTGCTTTGCTTGCTTGCTTGCTTGCTTGCTTGCTTGCTTGCTTGCTTGCTTGCTTGCTTGCTTGCTTGCTTGCTTGCTTGCTTGCTTGCTTGCTTGCTTGCTTGCTTGCTTGCTTGCTTGCTTGCTTGCTTGCTTGCTTGCTTGCTTGCTTGCTTGCTTGCTTGCTTGCTTGCTTGCTTGCTTGCTTGCTTGCTTGCTTGCTTGCTTGCTTGCTTGCTTGCTTGCTTGCTTGCTTGCTTGCTTGCTTGCTTGCTTGCTTGCTTGCTTGCTTGCTTGCTTGCTTGCTTGCTTGCTTGCTTGCTTGCTTGCTTGCTTGCTTGCTTGCTTGCTTGCTTGCTTGCTTGCTTGCTTGCTTGCTTGCTTGCTTGCTTGCTTGCTTGCTTGCTTGCTCGTTTCTTGGTTTGCTTGTTGATTTTGTTTGCTTGGGCTTGGTTTGGCCTGGTTTGCTTGTTTTGCTTGTGTGTTTGTTGGGATGGTTGGTGGCTGGGTTGGTTGGTGGGTGGGTAGGGGGGGTGGTTGGGATGTTTGCTGGCTGGCCGGCTGGCTGGCGTGGTGTGGTGTGGCTTGGTTTGGTTGCTGGTTGCTGGTTGCTGGTTGTTGGTTGGTTGTAACGTTAACTTGCACTGTCACACATCAGCAGAAGTGAAGTGTTAGGACATGTCCCTTGTTTTTGACACAGTGTTTGAGTGACCAACTTGGGTTCATTGGCCAAGACGACCTTTTCGCCTGCTCCATGAATCAGTCAATGCACGCAGGAAGAGGTGGAGCGACTGCGTGCAGACCAGGCAGAGGCCTGGAAATGGAGACGGATGTTGGGGACACAAACCAACCAACCATCCATCCAAGCCGCAACATACTGTACTTCTCCCCAAAAGGAGGCTGATTAGCAACACTTGGAACATGACCTCAAATGAAACTATCCCATGTCACCGGGAGACGACCATGCCCAATGTATGCATCTCGTGTTTCTTGTCCTGTATTACTTAAGACGTATTATGTATGATCCGATTTGGAAGCAAACTTGAAGCATGCGCCTGCGTTCGGCCACTTCAATCCCACTCCGCACGATACCGCAGCACGTAACAGCAGCTTTGACGTGAACAGCTGCCAACCCAAGAACTTGTTGTGCCACAATCACAAGTCAGGTATGTTTTCATGAGCACAATGTTGCTTGGCGCTGATTGCATGTGGATCGCTTCGGGAGCTTTCATGGGAATGAATCACATGGCCAGGACCTTCATTTTGATTGAGGAACGAGGACGTGTTCAACCAAAGCGAGTCCGTAGACAGAACTTGAGAAGCGACCAGCCCCAGACCGCTGACATTGTTCTGAGGTTGACACTTCCAATCAAAGGTGTGAAGTCGTTGGAAATCAAGCATTGTTTGCTTGCACCGTACCATGACCCTACATTTGCCAGGCCCGTTGGGAATCTCTGAGTGTTGGACTGGTTCCCACACTCTGATGCGTACGATGTTTGTGTGGGTGTCATCATCTCATCTCGCAGTATTATACCATTTGCTGACCATGTCACTTAACATCAGGCAGAGGCCTTTTGCCCTGTTCGTCCTGGCCATCGTTTTCCATGCATTTTGTTCAGCTCACTGGCCAATCAGATCACTGGTGTCTTCAGAAGACCATCCCGAATCCCAAGGGCTGGTCGACATTCGGAGTTCGCTCGCAAGGGACTAAGCAGCATGCCGGGATCTTTGAGTATAGAGATGATCCTGTTGAGCCCCGGCTCTGTCCGCGCGCCAGTGCAAGCAGAAGCGTGAGGCCTTGAAGCGGGAAGCCCAGGAGTGAAGCTGCCATGCAACATCTCGCTCTTTTGGTCTTTCTCGGAGTCCAAGTAAGTCACCACGTTTTGCGATGTGGTTCGTCATTGTGCAAAATATGAGCATCAGCGGTCAGGCGGTCAGCCTGCGGGTCTTTGTCGAAACGAGCCCAGTGTGATCAATCCTTCGTGTTGGGAGCTGTGGAGTTTTTGGGGCAGCCACGTTCGAGCGCAAATATTTAGGATTCGCGAGAGTAGCTGAGCTGCATTCTCCACCTTTTGTAGCTCCCCCCCAAACAAACAATGGGAAACAAGGTCTATTGTTCAGAAGCACACCAACCTGAGGCAAATCACTTTGGAGTGGTTGCTTCAACGAGAACGCGACATGACACAAACCATGCTTTTCAGGTTTTTTTTTTTCAGAGCTAAACCATGGAATTTGTCCACAACTCGTGAATTACTTCATGCAATTGCTTCTTCGCCTGTCGTTTGAACCAAAAGGCCACCCAGTTCGTCCCGTAGGTCTCGTGCCACTCTGCTGGAGTCTCAACTCCGTGAGCTCAAGGCGATCCATTTGGGGCGGTTGGCTCTGGGTTGGCTCCCCACTTTGGTCACCCGGAAGGGGAGTTTTGAGGGCTTGGCCGTCGCAAGGGGCGAAAGGCCGGATGCGAGCTTGAGACTTTGATGTTTGGGAAGCCACCTTGCTTTGCCGCCTATTTTTGCAATTGGTACAGTGACAGTGAGAAGATTGATGAGGTCATGATGCCACTGCACTCGAGCGACTTGCTTTTGCTCGTGTTTCATTCTTACATACCCCAGCCAAAAGCCCAGCCCTCACGTCTATTGCCTTTGGGCTTCTTCAGCAATGTGGTGTCCGATTGAAACCGCTGCAAGCTCCAGACAAGTCTTCAATCTGTCCTTCACGGGTTCTTGTCCATCAACAGAACTAGGCTGGCACATGGGCCCACTCAGCCGACGGGACCAATGTGGGTATGGGTCAAATTAAACCAGCAAAAAACCGCAGGTTTTGGTCCATGTTTCCATTTACCAGGATTCCATTTTGGTTACATATTTTTGACCCACAGATTTGAACATGCTCCGAATCACTCGGGAGCGCATGGGGCGACCGATACTCACTGCTTTTGACCCATGAGCCCCGCTCGTAGGGCAACATGCAGTTCTTGCTTCGCAAGAGCGACGACGATGATGCCCTGGTGGCCATGCTGCAGAAGCAGCTGGGCCGAGAGGCGAAGGGGCGGAAGTCGGGGGTGGGTGGGTAGGTGGGTGGGTGGGTTGGGCTGGGCTGGGCTGGGCTGGGTTGGGTTGGGTTGGGTTGGGTTGGGTTGGGTTGGGTTGGTGGGTGGGTTGGTGTCTATTTTTGTGTGTTTGTGTTTGTGTTTTTGTCCGTGTTTGTGTGTGTGTGTGTGTGTGCGAGAGTGCGGAAGTGTGTCATCAGATTGCTGGACAGACTACGCATCGCCTACTGACAACCAAGGCTGCTCGCTGACGGTTTAATCGAGTGAGACTCCTAATCATGCTCGATAGAGCTTGCCAGAATCCATGCATGGGCCGTGTCACAAGATCCATGGCTGGCTGCTTGCTGCTTGCAGAGGAACACGCGGATTAACATTCTTTTGGCGCATAGACCAACAGGCACTGGCTTATCTTTGTCTTGCCAGGCTTCTTGGTCAGAGAACATGCACATGGTAAGTGACAACTTGAACATTTGAACATGAACGCCGGAAGACGCAAAGTGTACTCATGGGCCGTGAAGCAAAGCGCAAACTGGCTATATCCACTCCAAGGCTGCTGGACTGTGATCCAAGGGTCATGTCTCGGTGGAATCCTACCCTCGCCCGGTTGGACCTTCGCTGAACCACTGAAGAGTCTTCTTTTTCAGCTGAAGCCACTGACTGGGGAAGTGGATTTCGGCTTCATCGAAATCGCAGGAAGATGGCTCTGGTGCAGGCACAGGCCGGGTCACCCAAATTTTGCTTCATGGAAAGGGGGGGGCCTTTATTAATCGGTCACCCACATTGCACATTCATGAAAAATCTGACCTCTAATTGTGCTGAAGCTACCCGAACAGTCATGAATTGGAGCTCGTAGGTTGCGAGCAAAATATATTTCTACGAGCCGACCACCTGAGAGGTTTTGCGAGTTCGTGGTTAAGCAGCATGCAGCACGCAGGCATGGCAAGGATCATCAGTTAACTGCTCAACTTGTGTAAGCCATGGCCGTGTTTGCCCATTGGAGGATGGCACTAAAACCGTGCCTAGTTGGATTTCAGTGTCAGATCCCAGACATTTGGTATTTGGACAGCTATGTACGCCAAAGCGGGTTGTTTGTGCAGAACAGCACCCACGCACCCCAGGCACCCCAGTCACCAGGGAAGTCGGCATTGGACCCTTGGAGTCTCCAAAACCAGTCTGCCACCCGTCAACAAAACAAGCCTTTGTTCAAGAGAAGCATGAGCCAAGCTTGATTTTGTGGGGGTTTTGGGGTTTTGTTTGGCTGGTTTTCCAAGGACAGATTCATGAAACAGTCCTGGAGAAAAGCAACCGCGTTTCTGTGGCTTTCGTGCTCAGGAGATGAGTTGAATCACATGCGGCAGCAGAACAGCGAGTTGCAGGTCGCTGAGTCGACAAAAGACGAAGACTGAGATGCTGTCGGGAAAATAAGGAGGTACTAATTGTGTGTGGCACGCACACTATCACCGGGGTATCAGCTATGGGGCCGCAACAGAGATGATGTTGAACCTGCAGCTTGTACAGATTGTTGTCCCGGTTGTTTTTCTGGGCTTGTGTTTTGTGAATATAGTGTGTCATCTCAAAGGGGAGCTCCATGCTGGGCTTCCTTTTTGTTTCCGATTGAAGGCCAACCAAAAGGGGGCTCCTCAAAAAAAGCCACTGGCCTCTTTGGGGCCACTTGGTGCACGCGGTTGCAACGGTGTCTCCGAAGCTCCCCAGCGAACAGCATACGCCAAGGCCACTTGGTTTTGTTTAGGCGATCCCCTTACAAGTTTGCTTGAGCAGTTGTCCCAGTTACCTCTACGTCTCAAGCTTTGTTTTCTAGCGTCGTCTTTGCAGCTCCGCGGCTTCTGATCGTTTCCAAAGCTGCGCAACTCTTAGCTCCCGAAACGAAATCGGTTAAGACTCGGTTTTCTAGGTATGGATAACCATGAGAACGTGACCGATTTTACAGGTGCCCCCCCCCCCCCCGCAAAGTAGTTTAGCATGAGGTCCCAAGTTCTGCAATAGCCAGTTGGCCGGCAAAAAGCCAGGCTCAGCTGGAGCGGCAGGCGCAGATCGTGGTGCAGCTCAGGCCAGTAGCTGGCCCTTTGATCCTCAAACGGTAGACGAAACTTTCTTTGGACTGGTGTGTCAGAGCGGACAAAACACTGTTTTGCGATTGAGTCTTCTTTGTGATTTGAACAGCCATTCCTTTGCTAGGCAAAAAGCACTGGCTGCGAGCTGTGAGAATGGGAAAGTGCCCTTGGGGCCAAAGATGCTGGGTCGCACTGAGACTGGAGCGTCGACCCTGAATCATCTATTGGTGGGCAATCTTTCTCATGTTCTTTTCGCTGACTGTTCTTCATTTTATTCACGAACTCTATCGTGTTGTCATGCAGATCGCAGCAATGCACGCATTCATGGCCATGCCCCCAGCACCTCCGCTCCCAAGCCTAGCGACCAAGGAGCGTTGAGGCGTCCGTCACGGAGCGGCAACTTGTCGAGCGGGTACGCTTCCTGGAGGTCGGATCTGTGCGGGCAGAAGGGGTGGGGGGTTTGCCGCACATTCTGGTTTGTGCTTGGGGTCTTTTGGGCTAGCAGAAATAGTCCAGAAGGTAGGTGTGTGTGTGCTTTGGCGAAGATGTTTGGCAAAACATCACAGTATATGATACTGAGTTATGCCTATCTGCAGTAGTCGGCAGCAAGCAGATGTCGAAAAAACACAAGTAAAGAACCAAATTGGCAACTCGTTCTTGGCACGCTGAATCAGCCCTCAAGCTATGTTGCAATTCGACAAGCGCATGGACTCTCCATCACCATCACTAGGCTTTGTGCGCTACAGCGATCTTACAAGTGAGTCAGATCACAGGCATCAGCGAACGCTGGGTTCTTTTTTCTGTTGGATCCCATTGCAGTTCCTCCAGAATTTCGCCTCCCACCAATTATATGACTACCTTCCAGGGCGGTCCTGGTTTGGACCATTTTCCATTTAAAGGGACCCCCGAACGTCGGGTTCCACGTTACTTGGTGGGAGGCCCGATATCCCGGGAAGATCGGGGAAGGGTGAATGTTGCCCCTGGCAGGCGGAGAATGCCAAGCAGGCGGAGCAGGTTCAGCTCCTGAAAGCTCGGGGCGTGCCAGCCTTAGCGTCAACGGAGAACGAAAACGAAAGGCCCCTGGATGTGCTTGGTTTCATTTTGTTTAGGCGCGCTATCCTGAATACATGAATCCCAGTTGAAGCTGGAGCATCGAATCAAGCCATCACCTGAGCATTACAGGTCCAGGGGCCTTTCAGTTTTGGGGCAGGCGTTGGGCTTAGCAGGTTTGTTCAGAGCTGTCTGACGCAAGCAAATTTCATACGATGCCCAAGGGATGTTGCTTGAAATTAGCTGCTTCAGACGGCTTCAGACAACATGTGCTGCACTGTAAGTGGGGAGTCGAGAATCGCAAGAGGCAGCGGGACATTCGTGTTGGTGTTGTGCAATGCCTCTTTGCTTTCAGCCTTGATCCATCTCATTTGGGCATATATGGCTGTGGGTCAAAACTAATGGTACCATTTTGGGGTAGGTGCACCGCCCATTTTAGTTCATTTTAGTGGGGATTGGTATGTTCACTGGGGGTACGATTCGGCTTTTGACCCATGGCCATTTGGCCAAATGACTTGCCACCCAATTCAACCCCCATTCCCCTATAAATACCAACAAACAATGGTTTCCCATGGTTTCAAAGTGGTGCATATTTCTCCCATCCACTTCCAGGGGTTCGTTTCAAGCATCATTTTCAAAAACCGGATCCGTTTCCAACCTGGGTGTTTGATGGTTTCCTGAAAGATTCGGACTGGAAAGAACGGAAATGGAAGGCAGCCCTGAAGTACGCATGAACAGGAGCCACGATGTATCTTATATCGAGCAGTTACATGCAGGCCATGGGCACCGACTTCATGAGGCCCGGCGGCTTTGCGTGTAAGGGTTTGTCCTCGTCCTTTGTTCCCCTTCACTCCCCTTGTTCTAAGTCCTTTCCCCTTCATTTCCCTTTCAGTTCCCCTTCATTTCCCTTTCATTTCCCCTTGCTTTCCTGTCATTTGCACTTTCTGTCCCCGCACACGGTAGGCTGTGAATAACCTATTGCCTGTCTCGCATGTTTAGCCAGCCAGTGGCTTTTGCTCTATGCAGCAAAGCAAGTGTAGGCAGATACCCTCCCTTCCAGTAACATAGCACCTGTGGGAGGGTACCCGGAAGATCAGTTTTCTCTTCAATGTCAGAAGGGGCGCGGGTCTGGATTTCCGGCACCGCGGAGCTTCGACAAAGCTTTTTTGGAGACAGGCAAAAACTGCGCGTGATTTCAGGAACTGATTCGGAACTTCGACTAACGGTTCGGCGGAACCGTTTGATACTTGTTAAGATTGCGCCACAGCTTCGAGGAACCCTTCGAAGATCACTTTTGCGGAACCCTCCCAAGAACCCGTTCTTTCTCGACAAAGTCCGCACTCCCGTTTCTGTCTCATCAATGGACCCCTGTCAGGTGCGGTGTTAGAGGGAGTGAAGGTATCGCTTCCGAGGTTCGCCTGCATGATAAACATGAGAACCATGGAGTCAAGAGGGGTTTGGTTTTTGGATGTTGGGCTATTGATCAACATGGCTATTTCCGAGAATAGCTTTCAACACAAGAAATCACCAACCTATGTTCGAAATTGACTAGCGGTCGCGAACATTGGAGTTGAGTGATTCCGGATTGGTGTTGTTTTGTATTGGTTTAGTCGGAATCTGAATATTGCACTTGGGGCCAGGTTCGATTCTAGGGCCCCATGCGCTTCTCCGGTTTTTCGAGGGATTCAGAGTTGCCTATGAGCCTTTGGGGGCTACTGCCCAAGCCAGCCACGAGCTTGGATAGCTTGGGAACAAGTGAGCAGCTCTAAACACCCCCTTTATATCATGGGATTCATGGGAGGTTTCATTTGAGTCGCTCAAGTGGTGTGCAGCTCCGTTCATTGGTTTGTGCACCTGTTTCCATTGCCCCCTGCATGGATGTGAATCTCTTCTGCACGTTCCCCGTGACAGGCTCGTAGCAAGAGGCACAGGCGTGCACAGCTGTTCCTAGGGAAGCATGGCCAGCATGGCTCTTCGAAGCTTAAAGTCGCATTACTTCTTCCACTGGGTACTGCTGCATACTCTCAATCATGCAACCATAGCGCATGATGGGGGCTGTAGATGGGACTTGATGGTCAGTCACCCGAAATCCACCGTATCCAAATGTTCGGTGTTTTGAGTGTTCATCCTCACCAATCCAGGGAACATTGCTGATTTTTGCTTCTGTATCGATGACATTTATCGCCCAAGGTGCCCTGAGTTTTGTGAGCAGAGGGTGTGAACGACCGTGGAAAGTCCCATAGCGCGGAAGTTCTTCTAATCCTTGGATTGCGACCCTTGTATCATGAAAAAACATTAGCAGAGTCAGTTCAACCTTGTCACGGTGGTTGTCAACTTCGCGGCAATGTCTTGCTCCAGGGGTGGTGACACGCCCTCGGAGAAGCGGTGGCAGGCGTGATCCAAGCTTCGATGGGAACGGATTACTGAACCTGCTTGATCAATGCACCCCGGTATTTGTCACTCGATGTATCCGCAAGCGTACTTGAAGGGCCGCCATGTCTAGCCTGTGAAGCCAGGGTTCGTTAAGAACTCATACACTGTACGAGTGCCAGCACACATAAACGTTAGCTGCCTTCGCCGTAGGCTTTCACATCTCGCCAGTTGGGTTGAAACTCATTGAAGCTGTGCCGATGCAGCCTTTCTGGAATCCTTCATCAACACCCACACGGGTGCATGTTTGAACTTGGGAGCAAAGTGCGGGCCCAACGAGTCGCAAGCATTGGAGCGTGTTGCATGTAGCCGTTCTGGGTATGTTGCCGCACAATTTCCAAAACGTGGGTATTCCAGTGGAGGAGTCGTGGCCTTGCAGAGTCAGCCAGAAGTGGTTACATGGTCATGGCCAAGCAAAATGACCAAAAGACTAAATAGCCAACTGGCAAAAAGGAACAGTCACCCAACCAGCCAGCCGACCAGCCGCCCACCAGCCCATTAAGCAGAGACCCAGCAGACAGGCAACCATGCAACCAGGCAACCAGCATCTAGCAAGACCCAGTCACCAATAAATGACCACCCAAAGGTCCAGCATCTTCAGATTTCGATGTGTCAGGGCTACCGGCCTGGCTCAGCAGAGGCTGAGGCCAGCCATGTCCATTGGGCGAACCTGCCTGGCTTTGACCGCTTTGACCCATCGGTATGTGTCAACATTGGGAACCCGCTGAGGGATTGTTCACGTCAATGACGTCTTCAAGTTTCAAGCTGACAACTTTCACAGTTCGCATCTTTGGAGCATAAAGGGCTTCCATGTATGGCTTTTTTTGGAGCACCAAGAGACATATTCAGAAAAGCCTCAAGTGGGCAGACAAAGCAGTTTGCCAATTGCTTTTGCGCCGGGAGTCGTGTTGAAGCAGCCTACACCGCTTCAAAGCTTGCCAAATATATTTTTGCAGCAGGCGATGTGCTTTGGGGCCTTGCTTGCCGCCATTGTTACTACTGGTACCAACGTCGCTGCCCCTGCATGAAAGGGCGCATGTGAACAGCACTAGATGGGTTACACAACCAAGGCCACATTGTTTGATGGGATATGATGGACTGGTACATATTTACAACGGCTTCTGAATCTATGCTGCCCGACGTTGAGTACGCCTGCACTATCAACCGGCAATGGCATGATGACACCGGTCGAGTTTCTCATTGTCATGCACATTCGAGTGCTACTTGAAAAGCTTTTGACCTGGCGTGCTTGCTTGGTTTCCTTGATTCAGGTGACTAGGTGACTAGCTTCTTGCAGGACCATCTTTCCAAAAAGTCACCTATGGTCAGCTCATGTGAGTCACAATCAAAACCCGGGTAATTGGAGGGAAGTAAGGGACAATCTAAGCCATAAATGGTTGCGGCCGCCTTTTCATTTCGTTGCATGGTTCTGGGTTCACCATTTTTGTACCAGGTTTTGATTATGTCTCATGTGTTGTTGCGCACGTACAGCTCCACCCAACTCTACGCCTTTCCGAGGCCTAGGCCTAGCAGCCGAGTGGCCGCGCCCGTGCCTCGGCGATTGAGCCAGGGTTCCACGTCGACATCGGAGATGAAGACACACAAAGAGACCTGCGGCCTCTTTGTACTTGTTCAAATGGGCGTCATTATACTGGCAAGTCTGTAGGTTGCTTCAAAACAAGGCACCGACATTAAAGAAGATTCAGATTGCCGGCTGTTGATTTACACGCACCCCAAGCCACACTCCAAATCCGCCTTTGCCAAGGTTTGGGCGACTTCCGGGAAGCCGCGGATTTCACCGTTGCACGGCCGGAATTTGTGCATGGAGCGCCAAAGCGCTGATTTCGCCCATGGGCACCGTGACCAAAAAGTCGGAGTGAGAGCGATGAAACCTGAGGTGTGCGTTTGCGTCCAGACAACAGTGGTTGAGACGACCACGGCAGTTCCACTGAGTATTCTCTCAACTTAGCACATGTACACGGAGCTCGCAGATGTGTTTGCCTTACCATGCTCATCACTGACAGGTTGTTGGATAAGTTTGCAGTTGGTGTTTTTGAGAGGGGCCCGTGTTGCTCTGTAAGTTTCAAGATTGGCAGAGCCCGACCTTTTTTTATGCTGAGGCAAGCCAGTTTGGTTGTTTGTGAAGCCGCAGAATGACTGGCCAAATTCGAGAATCATGTCTCTGCCCGCTGCTCCCGCTCAAAGAGAAGAGTGGAGTATAGGCCTATTGTCATTACACATGGCATTCAACCATACTGATGTTTGGCAGTAGCTTCAAACATGATCCTTGTCCTACGAGGTTGTTGTGACCCGAATGCACTCATCACTGAATGACGACTGTAAGCAATTGTTAGATGTTTGTTCGACATGTTTATGCCATATGGCTAGCGAAGAGCTGACGCGCCAAAGGGCAGGCTTCTCATTGCGCTCATGTTACGCTTTGCGCGCTCGTTGCGTCTGATGTGTTTGAGGTCGTCATTTGCATCAGCCAGAATTTCAGATGGTGGCAGCCTTGGGTGACGAGCGGACGCCGGTTTGGCCAATGCCACAAGATCTGCTTCCGTTCTTGGTTGGTGCTCGATGTGCTTGTCAATGCTATTGGTCAGACGACCATGAAACACGTAGAATGCTGCCAGAATGCATGACCTTGGCCTGGTGTGTGTGTGTGTGTCGGTGTGTTGGCTTTCTTTCTTTTTTACGGTACCCGTTTTTGTTGGATGGTTTCAAAGGAAAACCAAACGGAAAAATATCAATTTTGGGGGTGCCCTAAAAATGGACACACACACACACACACGTTTCTGGGCGTGCGAAAGTCGAAGCGACTTCAGGCTCCGCACTTGGGGAACAATGGGCAGTTGTCCCGCGATGAGCGAGTCCAGCTCTATGGGATTGACTGTGAAGACCAGGCGCGGGAGGCGACCAGGAGCAAAAGGCGAACTGAGAATAAACCAGTTGGATTGGCCCATTGGCCAAGCAGCTTCTCTTCGCTGGTGTTTTTTTTTTTTTGGCGGTTTCCCTCTCCTCTTTTTTTGCCGTACCCTTGGTTTGAGCACCTTTCGATCATGCCGGCCGCCTTGACATCAGCCAACCCTCAAAAGAGGGTTTGGTGTGTGTGTGTGTGTTGGTTTTAGGCATCGTAGACATATCTCTTGGGCAACGATAGTGTGCACTTTGCTAGGTGATGTGGCATGAATGGACACCTGGCGTGGAGAGCGTGCAAGACCTCGTTCTTCAGAATGTGGCGCTGGTCACACAGAAGGCACACAGTGTTTGGCTCTACGACACACTGGTCCAAGTGTTGTCGTATTATTATTATTGTTATTTATTACTATTACTTTATTTATTTATTATGTATTTATTTAGTTATTCATTCATTTATTTATTTATTTATTTTTCACATTTCACAGCAACGCATCTGCATCCATGCTCCAATCTATCAGGTCAAGTTCAAGCTGCCGCCCACGAAAGAGTTCGACATGCCGTATCCAGAGCCCTTCAAGCTCGCGCTGCCTGACTGAATGGCTGCTGTTTTTGCGTTCCTTTTTTTACCATGTTCCACAAGCTTGAAATGCCAGGCCCGGTATGAAGAAGGTGATCCCCATCAGCTTTCGGCCCTCCAAGTATGTCCCGCTCTACCGGCTGTCTTCTGCAAGAGAGATGCTGACTTCACCTCATAGCGCATTTGTGGCAGGCATGTGGATCGAGTCCAGATCGTCACCAAAGGAGGTAGCTTCTTTGTCATTGTCAAGGCCCGGGCACCGCATGAATCTCAAACGCGCATCATGTGCAGTCCGAGACGTGTTGTTTAACACCCCCCACGGTGTGCACCCGGGAAGCTAAGGCGGACCGTGCTTTGCTTTTGTGGGAAAATACAAACATGTTCCCTTTCCCCGGCGCCGTTTCAGAACGGTTCGGTTCAGCACCCGGGAGACTCGGGCGCTTGAGGCAATCGAATCGAGTCAGGCCGTGGTGAAGGACGTGGCCCTCTCAGTGCCGCCCTTCTTGGACTTTGGCCTCTGCCCGACAATGGAGCGTCCCTGGCTCAGCGCCGGTTCTCTTCGACTCCTTGGAGCCATCGGTTCGGAGCACAAAGATGGAGCCGAAAACGAGCCGATGCAAATCTGTGGGATGTGGTCTGTCGGAAGGCGATCCATCTTAGGTTCTCAGCAACAGATCGAAGTGTACAACACCGGCACCTTGAAGGCGTCCATGAAGTGGCACGCCAGGCAGGGCTGTATTGCTTGCCTGCATTCGCAACGCAAAGATGCGAACGCTCATGTATTTGCAGGGGGCACAGACTGAATACTGCTTTTCTGATCAGTCACTTCAATATGGACACAGCATGGCACGGCCCCAGCGGCTTCTGTTTATTCCCAACCGATGCACTGGAAGCCAATTTCTTGGCGCGTTTGCCATCCAGGCCGCCCTTCACCGTTCGATGTTCCGCTGAGACGGTGGACGTGGGACAGTCCGTGCATTCCTTAATCTGTCGGCAGTCTGAACATTTGCATGTTCTGCCATGAACTTTGGAGGTACCAGGACAATGAACGCGAAAGACAGGGTGCTTCACACAGGGACATTTGACATTTGCTTCTCTTTAGGAGAGAGAGCGAGAGAGTAATATGTATGATATATACATATTGAAGGTGTGGGCGCATGCCCCTAGTATGCTTCTGGCAACTTGAGGGTCCAGCCTTGGTGCAATTCTCTAGCACTGCGGACTGCCCAGTCTCTCAGCTATTGTATTTTCCAGGAATCGTGGGGCACTGCAGGGTCGGCACAAAAAGCTGCTTTCATACTCTCCAAGCATGAGCATGTGTGCAAGGGTGCAAAGAAAGCAGCATGTCCGGGCTTGTGTAAAAGAAAGAGATCAAAGCTTGGCTAGTGTCAAGGAATGCTGGAGGCCAAAAAAGGGGCTCCCTTTTCGCTTCCATCAAATTCAGTGAGTCCAGGGGTGGTTTGGGCCAGTTTTGGGATTGACTCCAGCGCCTTGAGGTGCGGTGCCTGGTAGAGTTCGAGCCCAAGTCGGCCTCCGTCTTTGATGGGCTACTGGCCTGCGAGGCGAGCTATTCGGTGGATTGGCTGGCTCGCTGCGAAGGGAATGACCTGGGAATGAAGGGAGGGTCAGCAATGAAAAAAGAGCAGGGGAATGGTTTAACTGGGGCCATTCCCTTCTCATTCCCTGAGAACCAGCAAGTTTGGGTTCTGATTTGGGGGTTCCATGCGAAATGCGCTTCGACCTTGGCTTGAAGGGTGGGGTTCAAAGGAAAACATGAAACTGTTGCCAGGAGCAAACGTGTGCCGTGGATCGAGAGTTCAGGGCAACTCACGTTGCAGCTGTGAGCATTAGCATCAGCGGAGGTTTAAGCAGTAGTCCCTTCCCGTGCGCCCTGTGACAAACTGGAAGGCTGCCAGTGTAGCTGCTGCCGTCCTGGACGACGAGGACAGCAGCGCTCGGGCTCCAGAGGCCCGCTACACTGCGGGGTATTGGGGTGGTGCAAAGGAAGACAAGGGCAGCCACAATTATGTTTATAAATACCCAGGGTATCACATTTTGCAAACCCCTGTATGGTCTCTCATGAGAGAGGTTTTTTGGGCGCTTCACGGCCGCTGTCTCTTATTTTGCACTTGAAACTGTGCTTTGGTCTTTGGCACTCTGGTTGGTTGTTGATGGCTTCCCAGTACCATGATTTGCTACCCCGATCATTCTATGAACTGATACAGTAGTTGGCATGAGGCCACATATTCTGGTGCTGATCGCCGCTGTCAGAAAGGTAGCACAACTGATTGAAATGCCTGCTGAAAGAGTCATTTGTTCGAGGGGAATTGCACTTTGTTGCTTTTCCCCTTGTAACTCGCACGCCATGTGAAAATACACCTAGATAAGTATTATTGAGCATGCGTGTGGTACCCTAGGCAGTCACACACAGAGTAATTAAGGAAAGTCAATAAGAAGATTCGGATTTGCTTCAGGGTGTTGGTTCTTTGCGCTGCTTTTACCAGCTCGAAGCACCGACAGGTGAAACAGTACGCACTGCAATGCACTGGCGTTGGCAAGCTGCCACGGCCTCGGTGCCAGCCGCACGTGCGGAGCAATGCGGTTGTGCTTGCAAGTGGCTGTGTGTCAGAGGAACTGCCCTACTGAGGGCGCCTCCAGTGCCCTCCCATTGCATCAGTAGCTGTGGCCTTTGATTGTTGACCCTTTCGAAGCCAAACATGAAACCTACATTAGGTGTCTTGCCAAGTTCAAACCCCTTAGTGTGGCCAGTCGGCCAGTGCGGTGACTCGTCGATTTGGCGGCACCTCTTAAAGTTCTTCACAGTGCAATCCTGGGGCTTCCGCTACTAGGTCCCCCAGTAGTGCCATTTTACCAACTTTTTTGGGGGAGTGTTCCCCTGCTAAAACAGACTACAGAAACAAAGGGCACCCTTATTCTAACCTCTCTACTGGAGGACCTAGGCTAGATTCCATGAGAGGCTCAGACACGCAGCTGGACGCTCGCTGGCACGCCTGCGCCCCGAGGCCTCACCTTTGCGTGCCCGGTGGTCGCAGCCCGCTGGTAGAGTTCGGCACTCAGTCAACTGGGAAAGACTCCCCAAATTGGTTGCTTTGTTTGTTTTCCTTTGTTTGGCCACGTTTGTATGCATAATCCGTGCATCAGGTGATTAGGTGTATCAACATATGTAATACACCTACTTAGTGCGACAAAACCTTGAGCAAAAAGCAGGGTGTAGATTGAAAATCTGTTTTTTTTTTTTTTTTTTTCCGCTTGGTATTGCTGAAAACCCTGGGTCCCACAAGAACAACCCGGTTTTGTAAATAGCGCCCCGTACATCAGCAGTACAAACCCCATATTTACCCATACTAACCGGGTATTTTTCGTACTGGTTATAGAAACCAGGTGTTCACCTCTTAAACTCCGGTTTTTTGGCACACCCTGCCTTTTTTCAGTGTTTGGGTGCTCCAGGCAATGACAGATTGGAGCACGCTTCATTTCCCCTTCTGAATCTCTTTTTGTCTTTGTCTTCCACTTTCTCTGAAGCTAAGGCAAGAGCATCGATGAAAATGTTTCATCATGATCATTATCATCATTATCATCATTATCATTATCATCATTGTCAATATCATCATTATCATTATCATCATTGTCATTATCATCATTATCATTATCATTATCATCATTATTATCATTATCATCATTATCATCATTATCATTATCATGATTATCATTATCGTCATTATTATTATCATTATCGTATTTGCCCCTGAGGTTTGGGGCAGTTTCGCCTGGGAAGCGCGTGCCGCAAACGCTGGAGCTGCTGAACACGACTCCTGCCCTGTCCTTGGGGCCTTCAGCCAAGCGCCAGCTTAAGCATCTCTTGAACAGAGGGTGCCTATATGCGGTGGGTCAAAAAAAATCGGTAACCCCAAAGTGGCACAAGCCCTGGTAAATGGAAGCAATGACTAAAACCAGTGGTCCAATTCCTGGTGGTTAAGTTTGACAGCCATATGGCTGTGGTTGTCAAAACCCAGGAAACCCCCGGTGAACATCAAAATAGGTGGCAAATAAGAATGTTCATCCACCCCAAAATGGGATCCATAGGTTATGCAACCCATGGCCATGTTGGCTCGGGGCGAAGCAGTGGGTAAGCGCTTCACCGGGACGACCTCCCCGCCTCGGACCCAGGTGCGGGCAGTCTTCAAGGTGCGTGCGGTGCACGACTCGGAGGCGGGCCCCGGAGCCTTAGGTGGAGAATCTGCTAGCTGATCAGTCAGAGCCATGACCCCTTTATGACGGATATACATATACATATATGCATATATATATATATATATATATGGATATGTCTTAGGGACCTTGCGGCTTGCATTGTGGGGGATTCACCAGAAGAGCCATGTTGTGCTTCGAGATCAAATGGCAAGGCAATATGCCCATGTTGCTCGGCCCCCAGCCATTCAAGCTGAAGCGTCGTCAGGCTGCAGCGCTGCCCTCTGCATTCTGGGTGAGTCCAGACTCTGGAGTGGTGAGCATCTCAGAGTTGCTCTCGAAAACATTTTACAACCCCCTTGAAAAGGGGCCGCAATCCTTTTCACGGTGGCAATGTCACCAAGAGCTTCCTCCGCCTTGTATTCTGCTTGCGCCAGCATGACCAAGCATTGCTTGCGCATCGTCACAGTTTCTGTATTCAATTGGCAGTTGTGTAGCAGAACATACTGAGAGATATTGAGTTTGCCAGCACGGCCACGCATTGATTGTGTGCGAAGGTTGCTCTTCGTGTTTTTGAGCAGCGCGTGGATGAGAATAGGCACTGATCAAATGCGCCTTGAGGTGGAGCCAAACTGCACCTTTAGCATGACCTTTTACTTCCAGTGCTGAGCCTAGCTGTTCTTCCTGTTTTTTTTTCTTCTCCAAGATTGCGTTGAATAGCTTCAGGTCTCACACTGTCAAAGAACATGCATGCCAACGCTTTCACATCAGCACACCTGGCGGGACACCATTGGCTGTGAACTCAGACTGCATCGAGCTGCGTTTGTGTGACAGTATCGCTGCCCATTCGCCACTGAGCCATGAGGTTGTCACATGCAAAGCATTCTGCCAGCCGATCGACGTGGCGATGTCCTGCAGGCAGGGACAGCGCCAAGCAACTTGTTTGGTTCTTTCACATGCGGAGCGCATGCTTCCAACTCCAGCGAGAATTTTAACGACCCATACCCATGCCGAATCACGCCGAATCATGCCAGGTCCATCAACTTTGGCGAAGTGCCAAGTGGAAAAGTCTGCTCCCGAACGCTGAGCTCCTAGCATCGGTCTATGTGGTAATTGTTGACGGGCGCAGCTTCATGACTGTTATGGCGTGTAGCATGCCATGAGCAGACTGGCCTGCGTAGCGCTATTTTCAGGCTGCAGCTGCAGAACCAGAGCGATCGACCTTCTCCATACCACTTCATCAATGTGGACCAGCGAGGTGACTCTTGTACGATCGCAGACACAGATGTTGGCACGCTGTGATTTTTGAGTTGAATCAGAGCTTCGAAGCAGCAGGTGTTTTCTGGGTCGACCGGGCGATGGGAGTCATCCCGCCGGACTCCTTCATGGTGGTGACGGTCTTTTTCGGGCCAATGTCACCCATCAATTACCACAAGAAGGCGGGCTGGTGGCACCATGCTGCAACAGGCGAGTGGGCAAGGGGCATTCAAGTTGAAGCGACTGCAGGTGTCTTGTGTCATCAAGGGTGCGTCTGCTCCTTTGATCCTGGACTTGCTTGGGTCCGCGGCTTAAGAGCTTTGGCTTTGTACTTTGACAAGGTGCAAGGAGTCTGGCCGCAGAACCAACACTTATATAAATGAGGCTAAACGATGCAAACCCACGCATTTGCACGAGCTTATCCCCCAAAAAGATTGTGGCACGCCAGTCCTGAGCTAGGTCTTCGCACAGCGAGAAGGTGAGGCCAGCCAGGCCCGGTTTCAATTTCTCAAGGTGAAACTGTTTTGAGAAGGCTGCTTTTTGATAAACACAATCCCAGAGTCGAGGCAGGGGTTTTGTGTTTGTCACAGGCTGGAGCAGCACCACGTGGACATCTTCCGGAACATGCAGCTGTCAGGGGTTCGGGGCTCGGTTGGTCGCCTCAAGGAGTTTTGCTCCTGAGCCCTCGAGGGAGTCCACCCCTCCTTGATATTCAGGGGACACCCTACGACAGCAAGCAATTCCTGGCAGTAGAAACGACGACGATGGATTGAGTGGGGCGCCATTGATCCGGCTAGCTAGCACATTCGTCTACCTTGTGCCTCTCGCTTTTTTCTGAGGTGCGAGAGCATCAGCTGCAAGAAGCTGCGGAGGCAGCTTTCGTCGCTGAGTTTTGCCGCAGCACCAGTATTGTTGTTGTTTGCTAGCAGCTGATTTGCCCACTTGGTTGCGCATTTGTCCCTTGCTTCGTATTGCCCTTGCTGCAGTTTTCAAGCACAAGCGTGTGACGAGTTGTCAAAGGGGAGATCACGACCTTGTTTTGTATGGGTTGTTTGCCCAGAGTACGTGTTTCGTAGTACGTAGTGGATCTTCCCGCAAACCAAGTCGGCATGACTTTTTGTAGTGTATATTATATATATATATGATCACACACACACACACCATGATCTACCTTTGCAGCACATTATGTAGCCAAACAGCGAAAAACCCATGTGAGCGGGGACTTGTCAAAGTCCATGTCCATTGCAATTTACTGTGACTAAAATCCTGCTTGGAAAGGAATTTATGCTCAAATGCTTAATCGAGAGAGACATTGATCTTCCATTTGCATTGCAAATCGCATTTGAAAGGAGTCCCTACTTAAATTCTGAATTATAGTATACATTCGAATCATTCAAATGCATTTATGCCCTTCTTCAATTCTACTGGTATCACAATTTGCATTGAATGTGCATTTACATCTTAACAAACGGGATTAACTTGGAAATTCTAATTAACAAAGTAAATGTATTTTAGTTATTCCCTTGATAAGTGTCATTCATGGAATGTGTTTTAATTGTCGTTACTATCATTCAAACTAGAAATTATGATTGAGTTGTTTATCATTTGAAACCCTATTTGAATTCTAATCAGATTCTAATTACACTTGAGGTAGCATCCAATTTGGTGTAAGGTTAATTGAAAAGAGCTTTAGAAGGAGCCTTTTGAGGAGCTTTATAGGCAGCTTTTCCAGGAGCCGTATAAAGGGGATTTATAATGAGCCTTAACAGGGGCTTTACACATTTTTATTTTTATTTTTACAAGGACTTGTGCAAGGAGCCTTTCAGGGAGCAAACAGAGCTTTAAAAGGAGTCATGTATTTTCTTTTTGCGGAGCCTTATAGGGAACCAAAGAGCTTCGGGGAGCTTTATAAAAAGTTTTATCGCAGGTTTACAAGTGAGCTTCAAAACAAGATTTGCAAGCAAAA